TATTTCAATCGTTCATCATCAATTTCTTCGTCTGTTGAAACCTTAAAGATTTTTCCTCAACGCCGTGTTGTTTTTATAAAGGGACGTAACACCACTACTAACCGTGTATTGAAATAAGCCCCGCCTACTAACCCAATATGGAATATACACGGTCTCCAATCATATTCCTAGAAAAGTATAGGAGGCAAGATAAAAGATTATCTATGGTTTTGAAACCGGAAGAAAGTTGTTCAGCTACAAGCTAATCAAAGGGCGAAGGAAAAAACATTATCAGTTGAGTAGCTGTAGTTGGAAAATTATCACGCAAAAAATCAATAGTGATATTGTGTCTCATTTACGGCACGATTATTTACTTTTTGATGTGGACTGACGGCACGATGGATTTACACTTTGATGTCGCTGTAATGGTGCATATTGACGGGGCGAAAGAGTCACTATTTGGTGTCAAAGTTATGTTATTTATTGACGACACGATATATGTTATACTCTTTGATGTCATTATTATACTATTTTTAGTGGTACAGTGACTGATGTTGAAGTTGTTTCATTGTATTGTTATTTTCTGATGGCACGACAATTTTACTTCTAGATTGATTAATTGTTGTTAACCTAACTTCTAAATCGTCCCTTCGCAAATTTTACGGACGCCATTACTAGTTGGTTGACGTTAAGGAATTTCCATTTCAAAGATGACAACGGATATGTTCAAATTGTTGTAACTACAATCCCGTCCCCTTTTCCCAAAATGTGACCTACCGAATTAGATTTATCACTGGGTTTGTACTAACATGAGCAACACGACGGGTGCCACATGTGGCGATCGGGATCTGCTTACCCTTCCGGAGGACCTGATATCACCCCCAGTTTTTGGTGGAGTTCGTGTTGCTCAGTCTTTGGTTTTCTATGTTGTGTTTTGTGTACTGTTGTTTATCTGTTTATCCGTTTGTCTTTTTTCTTTTTTAGCCATAGAGTTGTCAGTTTATTTTCGACTTATGAGTCCCTTTGGTATCCTTCGCCTCTCTTCTAGTGGCCAATATTTCAGGCACATTCAGAATGAAAAAAAAGAATGCTCTGAAAATTTGATCAATCGGTTTTTTTAATCGGTTGCGGCTGCGATGTACATCCCGCACAACCAAACAGATGCACCTCTTCAGCATGGATTTTATTGCCGCATGACCAAATTTCTATTCATCGATCAACCCCAGTGGTCCTTACTATTTGGTGTCACGAAAAATTTACTTTTTTGTGTAATCGAAACATTCTTTTTTATGTCACGGTAATGTTACCTGTTTTTGTCTTTTACAACTAACACGATTAAGCTCGAGTAGATAACAGAAAGATTGTTCATAAATACCTTTACTTGACGTATTCACCACAACTTCCTGCATTTCTATTTTGTAGGATCAGGATGTCCTTCTGGTTTTGTTAAGTACAATGGTAACCAGAAATGCTATGGTTTTGTTGGGTCTCAAACAACATGGGCGTCAGCATTGGTGAGGCAACATTATTTGCAATTGTTCTTATTTAGTTTTACCCAGAAACTTCGGATAATTGTGATCACCCGACAGAATTTAAGTGTTTGCCTTTAGAAGAAGAATTTTTTTAACAACCATTTAATAGGCAAGAGAACACATATATTTTAGCTCCGTTCACATGCACACATTTACACGTGTATGCTTGTGTGCATATGTATGTAGACATACATGTAGGTGTAAAACGTGCATGTTAGCGCTAACACACATGTTTGCAAACGAACAATGAGTTTAAATTTGCATGACCAAACCCTTGCTGCGAAAGTATAATAATACTTATACGAATTTACGATGTGTGTATTTTGTGCATATAAACACGTAATATAAAAATACTACAATTTTTTTTTATACTCAAAGCAACGATGGAGTAGGTGTATAATTTTTAGGCGTCCCTTCTGTGGTTTGTCAGTCCGTCTATACGTTCGTCTGTCCGTATTAAGTCATCTTTATTTTTGCTATCAAATACCTTCTATCCAACACCATCCTTACAAAGTCTTTGATAAATGGTCACATATAATAAAAGAAGAAACTTATATTGATTTTGAGGTCATTACGTCGGAGGTTAAAGTAATTGAACCAAAAATCGCCCGAAATAATGCAGAAAATTTTAAGGATTAGCCGGATCTCTAGAACCTGACTTTGGATTAAAACAAATCTTTCAACTGATTTTTAGAGTTCGTTCTAATGTTGTACTGTTACACCACTGTCCCAGGTTAGGGGGAGGGTTGGGATCCCGCTAACATGTTTAACCCCGCCACATTCTGTATGTATGTGCCTGTCCCAAGTCAGGAGCCTGTAATATAGTGGTTGTCGTTTGTTTATGTGTTACATATTTGTTTTTCGTTCATTTTTTGTACATAAATTAGGCCGTTAGTTTTCTCGTTTGAATTGTTTTACATTGTTATTTCGGGGCCTTTTATAGCTGACTGTGCGGTATGGGCTTTGCTCATTGTTGAAGGCCGTACGGTGACCTATAGTTAATTTCTGTGTCATTTGGTCTCTTGTGGAGAGTTGTCTCATTGGCAATCATACCACATCTTCTTTTTTATCTTTAATATACATGTATTGTCATATATAATGAGTGAAAGAATCCTACCCTTATTGGATCTCTGTGTCCGAGGTAAAGGCCTAAGATACTATATATAGACAGAAATAATTGCAGAAAACGTGTTTCTGGTTGATAACTCGACAATCTGCATTTGCAAATGTCAAAACTCTTTAACTACAGTACTATTATCCTTATTCTAATAATTACATTAGATGTATGTTTCATTATAATACGTTATTCTGATTGGCTAACTGCAATCTCGCGTTATTCCTTAATCAACTTCATTACACAATGAAATTTATCATTCATGAGTACACGAGGTCCCACAATAAAGTGCACAGGTAAATTGAATAAAAAATTGATAAAAATCGTGTTTTTTAATGATCCTAGCTAAAAAATGTAATTATAAGTATTGAATGCTTCTTTTTGTAACTTCATAGGGTTGTAAAAGCGTTGACCGTTCGCACATTTTTAGAATGAAGCGCTTCCGCGCTTCATACAAAATGTACTTCGGTCAACGCTTTTACACCCCAATGAAGTTACAAAAAGAAGCATTCAATTCTTAAAATGCAATACTCTTAAAATGCTCAAATTTAAACATTCCAAATACCCCGTAAATGTCGACTGCGATTGCGCAACGTTGTTGCCAATGACTCCGACCACCAACGGTGAAATTGATGGCAGACGTCATCCAATCAAAATTAGCGTTGCATGCTATTAGAATATCACACTTATCTCCGTATAAAATACAACAGCTATGACTGCACGTGCTATCCGTGACAGTGTTAAAACAATGCATAGAAAAACACTCGAAAAGCTTGAAATATATAGATTATAACATGGCATTTTTCATATCAGACCCCTTATCAGCCCTAGGTCATGATATCAGCCCGAGAGCCGACAGGCTCGAGGGATGATTTTGACCATGGGCTGATAAGGGGTCTGATATGAAAAATGACATGTTATGTTCTTTTTATCATATATACTTCAGCAGAAGACATACAGACAAAAACTACTTTTAAAACTTTGAAAAAATGCATTTGTTGTAATATTTGTTTTGAATTTTTTAATAATATATTTTCTTGATTCCTTATATTTTTTTCATCCAACTTTGTTATGTTTTACACAAAATACGTACCATTGAGGTGTATTTTCCGGAATTTGCCGAATGACGTCGAATTGTCATACGATAACGTTACAGAAAAGCATGCGCTAATAACCGGAAGCAGTTGATATAAAACGGAAGCAGTTGATATAAAGCGGAAGCAGGTGATAACAAAAGTCATATCACACGGCTAAAGCAATTCTTCAAATTTAATGAACAAATATATGTACAAATTAGTTTTATCATGGGGTACAATTATACCATTATTTTCTATAAGTATATGATAAAATTTAATTTCATGGTTGTAGCAAAAAATGGAACAGTTATAAGAATTGAATGCTTCTTTTTTATAATTTTATTTGGTTGTAAAAGTGTTGTTCTTGCGCACATCTTTAGTATGAAGCGCCGCCTTCATTCAAATGTGATTCGGTCAACGCTTTACGTCATACAGACATGAGATCAAGTAGTTGTTAGGAAGAACAATCGTCCATACAGATGTGAGATAAGGCAGTCGACAGGGAGAGCAATCTTGGCAAAACCTTTCGGATTTTTTGGTCCTCAATGCTCTTCAACTTCGTACTTTGTTTGGCCGTTTTAACCTTTTTGATTCAAGCGTCTTTGATGAGTCTTTTGTAGACGAAATGCAAGTCTGGCAGATACAATTTTAATCCTGGTATCTATGATGAGTTTATTTACAACCACTGGGTGGTCGATGCCACTGCTGGTGGAGTTTTATCTCCCCGAGGGTATCACCAGACCAGTAGTCAACATTGATATGGTCATAATTATAAATAAACTGTTTACAATACTTTGATTTTTTTTTTAAATACTTAGGATTTTCTTACCCAGGAATAGATTAGCTTTAGGGTGACCTATACATATTGTAGTTGTTAACGTCTATGTCATTGTGTCTCTGGTGGAGAGTTGTCCCATTGGCAATCATACCACATCTTCTTATTCATATATTCACCAATCGAGAGTAATATAAATACATATACTAAACAAGAGTTTCAAAAAATATAACACACGTCTAGCATAAAGGAATACTTCCCCTTTGCAGGGGTAAAATAAATACAATGAGTAGAGTTAAAATCATTAACTTCGTGAACTCAATTTGTCTAACCTAATTATAGTTATCGCGCAATACTCGTTGTGTCAATAGTAATGTAACAAAAATACCGAACTCGAAAGAAAATTCAAAACGGAAAGTCATTTATCAAATGGCAAAATCAAAAGCTCAAACACATCAAACGAATGGAAAACAACTGTCATATTCCTGACTTGGTACAGGCATTTCCTTATGTAAATGAATACCATGCAGGTATTTGTCATTGAGGTATGCAACAACAGCAACACTGTCCATTGCTAATACATCAAATAGTAATGTATAGTGTAGAGCGATTTATATATCAAAATAAATTAGAAAAAGGGTTCATAAAGAATTCGACTGAAGTCATCGGAGGATAAATTTGTAATCATGAAGCAAATCAATGTTATTGTCATTAAACATTTACAGCATATATGTTTGCGGAAATACAAATTTAAAAAAACAATAAACAACAAAATAAAAACAAAACAGAATAAAAAAAACACAAGTGATATATACCTAACTCTATTTGAATTCTATAAAAAGAGGACGGAAATATTGGAAACAATATAAATCTATACACATGCATATATAGCTGTCTTAAGTGGATGGTTACGTGATATAAACCTTTTCAATTGTTGTATAGTTATACTGAATTAGAGATTATAGCTGCTGTGCATCAATCATGTAGTCGCCATTGATTTGCATGGCTAGGATTAAGGCAGATGTATCAAATATTTTCCTTAAAAAAACGTATAACACCAATTTCAGTTCTCATGCATGTCATGACACTTGTTTTTCTGATAGTCACTTCATCTGGTACACACGATATCAAAAGTTTCTGACATTAGCTTCATCGGTTATGTAGGATATCAAACGTTTCTGATAGAAGATTGATCGGGTACTTAAAGGATATCAAAAGTTTCCGAAAGTAGCTTCATCTGGTACACACGATATCAAAAGTTTTGGACAGTAGCTTCATCAGTTACGCAGGATATCAAAAGTTTCTGAAAGTATTTAATCGGTACACACGATATCAAAAGTTTCTGACAGTAGTTTCATCAGTTACGCAGGATATCAAAAGTTTCTGAAAATATTTAATCGGTACGCAGGATATCAAAAGTTTCTGACAGTAGCTTCATCGGTTACACATGATATCAAAAGTTTCTAACATTAGCTTCATCGGATACACAGGATATCAAAAGTTTTTGATAGTAACTATTCATTCGCTAATTTTTAGTTTTCATGATACATTCACTATGTTTTCTTCTTAATGAGACGATAGGGTTTTGGTTTTTTTTTAATCTTTTGTTTTGTTTACAGTATTATGTTATACATTCTAGGAATATTGTAGTATAGTTGGCGGAACATTGCCTCAAATAACTGACGCCGACATACAAGCTTTCCTTGAAGCTCAGATATCTAGTCGCTATCACGGTAAAATGTATAATATGATTTATGTACGCACAGTTTCTGAAATAACCTTTCATCAGGTGCGCTCAATACCAAAAGTATGGCAAGTTAAATATAAAACCAAACAATCAAAACCACAGACAGTTAGCTAGCAGTGGTACCGACCCAGTGGTGGTTCAAAAAAGTATGATATGATTTGTGTAGGCACAAAAAGTGTGTTTTTAAAATAAGTCACCAGGTACACTGTAGAGCAAGATTTGGGAAAGTCAAACAGTGAAAAATTGAGATCATTTATTTCAGGTAATACGATGGATAGCTAAAAGTAGTTATAATTATTCATTTACAAAGCATTCAATTTTCCGACAAGATATGATATGACATGACATGACAGATATGCTATACTATGCTATGGTATACTATGCTATACTATGATATGCTATTCTATGCTATGACATGATAAGTTAATATGCTAATAGTATGCTAATGCTATGCAATTACATGACATGACATGAAACGACATCTCTATTTGGCATAGATTTGGGTAAAAAGTAGATTTGTCTATTTTCAGTGTTCATCTACCATAAACTGAATTTTATCATTTATATTTGTCTGATCTGTATTTTCATTTTTAGAAAGTAACTATGTTATATCTACTGAGAATAATTATCACTACCACTACATCATGGATAACGGAATTGATGTAAGAGGTCAAACATCGATATCTTTCGAAGTTATGGCTTGTAATGATGCCCATATTGCACTATCTAAAGACAAAGGAGTGGATTCACGTGACACGTATGAGATTGTCATTGGTGGTTGGGGAGACCATCAATCTGTAATTAGAGGTACGTGGAGTCATGTGAGATTCATGATGTGCAATAATTGATAAAAAGTAATGGGTTTTTGCATCCAGCAAAACTGTTTGCTATGGAGTTGGGTGGCCTGGTTGTGAAAAAAAAACCGTGGATCAACGTTTTCTTTTTTCTGAATTTTTATATCTTGAATGAATTTACTGGTAACGATTTAAACGACCATCGTTGATGTTTATTATGGACTTTCTATAGATTATACCCGTAGTCTATGCATTTACAGAGTTGTGGCATATATGTCAATGAGAAAGCAGCCCGATCATAAAAAGGTTATAACCTATTTTCAGTAAAATAATCTTACTGCAGTGTAGATGCTATCATAGTAACATCTGTGAAAAATGTGAGACACCTTGCACATCCCATTTAAAAAAATCTGTAGAATCATACACAAACCAAACAATAAAAACATTTTGACAGTTCCAACGCAGATTTTTTATTGTTTTTTTTTTACAAAACCATATCTCCATTTATTTCAGAACAGGTATAAGACCCCATATTTTTGCTACAGAAAACCTTAAAAACATAATCTTTTATCAAAATGAAAGAATTTAATTATCAAAAGTGCATACAAAATTCGTTTCTTTATTATTTTTTATTATTATTATTATTATTATTATCTCTATGATCGACACACACATACTAAATAAAAGGTTTCCTGTTTAAGTAGTACGTACTGCTTTATTTCACAGACTGTAAGCAATGTGCACACATGGACACAAACGTTCAACAACAGCATCCTTTAGACTGTAAGAACTATTCGTCATTTTGGGTCAGCTGGACCAATAATGTCATTAAGGTTGGAAAAGGAAATGACGTCGGCAAGCAGACCTTTCTCACTTGGAACGACACAGCTCCACATAATGTCAACTATGTCGCATTTTCCACTGGTTTTGGAGCTACAGGAAAATGGAAAGTGAAAAGAGGTGGTCATTTATGTAGAATTGATATTTTGATATGACTGTGACTAACTCTTTATTAGATACCAAACACAACCTCGTAAAACAATTTTTCTACTTAATAAAATTGTCCGTCAATTAACCTTGGTGTAGCTATACAGTAGTATTCTCCAAAATTTCTTTTTAAAACTAAAAGAAATTATTAAAGCCATTTTTCTTACAGTTCTGAATCGCATATTGTGGTCAGTTAACCGTTTGATTTATAATGATTTCCCATTGTGTTCTTCTTACTAGCAGTTGAACTTTTTCCAATGTTTGATTTATAATGATTTCCCATTGTGTTCTCCTTACTAGCAGTAGAACGTTTTCCAATGTTTGATTTATAATGATTTCCTATTGTGTTCTTCTTACTAGCAGTAGAACGTTTTCCCATGTTTTTTTTTCAGTATTATTATAATAAGTGATTTTCATTGTAAAAAATAAACAAGCATCAAAGATGACAAGTACACAAAAACAACAAAACTATTCAGCTTTGGCAAGTGTAATTTAAAAAAGCCCATAAAATTATGGTTTTTTTTTCTCCATAAGACATCTCCTGTTTAAAATTTTTCTTGCTCCAGAACAATTTAAAAAACAAAAGACTGACCACGCAATTTAACCTACTTACCGCACTAGGGATTTATAATTATGTCGTGTTGTCCTGGTTGGATCACGTGATTTATTTAAATGTTGTCCAGGTTGGGTTACGTGATTACTTTGTAATAAGACTGATATGTTACATATTTTTATTTTGTAATATATACGTTAATTTGGGTATTGTACATGATCGTAACTTTCAGCACTTTTTGTATGAAATATGTTTGTCAGCGCAATGTCAGATTTAGAATGCAAGAAGATATGATTTCTATACTAGCAGATAAGAGGGTGTGGATAGGGTTTATAGAACAGAGAATAATGGACAAAATGTGCAGAATAAAGGGCTAACAAAATAAAGAATAGAGAAAAATAGGCCAAGAAAATAAAGAATAGAGAATAATGGGGTGCTAAAATATAAAGAATAGAGTATAGCAGGCAATTTTTTTTACAGAATAGAGAAAAATGGCTTTAAAAATTAAAGAATACAGAATTGAAGGATCCCCCATCCAGACTCTCAAATAAAGAACTATAAATTACGTCCAAGTATCTCATTTCATTCGTAAAATTAAGGTATTGTCACACAATGTTAAGATTGACTTTAGTATGCATATACTATAAGAAAAATAAATTTGTAAACAGGCTTACAGTTTAAAATAAGATAAAGAATGCCATCTGAATTGACTTCTTGCTTTTCAATTGCTGGTTTACGAGAGATAAACAGCTTACTTTTAAATATTTGTTTTCAGGAAACTATAATCCTGGGTTATTTTGGATAGGAGCATCCGATCTTGCCAGTGAGGGCAACTGGTTATGGTTACCAAGCAAGCACAAGTTTTCTTACTCGAACTGGGCATCTACAGAACCAGACAATACAAATTACTATGAACACTGTGCTCTTATTGATCTACATAGGGGATACAAATGGAGTGATGACAACTGCGAAGAACGTCGAAACTTTATCTGTGAAACAATACCAAATGAGTTTGGTAATGAAGTAATTGGCAAATAAATGTTAGCCAGAAATCAGAGGCTTTTTGCTCATTTTTATAGTTCGCTCAAGCAGCTGATGTCATGATAGCTCATGTGTTTGTCGTGGAGTCTCCATGCGTAAAATAAAAATCAATAATGTGTACCCAAAATTTTAAATAAGGAATTAAGGTCAATATCTCGAAGTTGGAAATGGAAGAAAATTCCAAAAATTAACAACATAGAGTTAACAACAGAACTTGGAATGAAAAACTCAGGGTTCCAGATTTATGTGTCAAATACGAGTGGATCTTTAACATATTCTGTAAAATGGCTCTTCACATCAAATCAGCAAACTTCATTTAAAAAAATAACCTGCTGTGATAATCATTGTGGACTATTTAAAAAACAAGAAACCTCTTATTTATAGCCATTGAATTCATGATTCCTGCATAAAATGAAAATGCTTCGATTTCATACAGTAGAATCACAAAACTCATGCACATTCAATATGTGTATTTATATCTATAAATATATTTCGTTTAAACTAGAAAAGCTGGAGGCAGATTGCACAAATGCATACAACAATCTCCACATATCGGATATGATGCCTGTTACTTGTTTAAGAGTACCTACAGATATAATATATAACATAAGAAGATGTAGTATGATTGCCAATGAGACAACTATCCACCAGAGACAAATAACGTAGACCTTGGCCACTATAGGTCACCATTGCAAAGTGCACATTTTCTACATGTGTCCATCGACCTCTTTCGATTGATAAATTGTGATTTGGTGTTCTAAATTTACTAAAAGCTATAACATCTTTATTTGGAAGTATTTGTAAAAAATCTTCACATGTTTAAACTTTCTTGAAGATTTTATAATTCAAACATTTTGGGGTGTTTTGAAGTTTATAAGTCTAAAATAGCTTATTGATCTGCTAGTCAAAGTGTTACAGCTACAACTAACCATTTTGGGTAATTACCATACTGTATCAGGAAAATACTTGAGAAACCGAAATCATTTAATTTGTCATTTTCATTCACAATTGTTCATCCAATTTCATTTCTTGGATATTAGTCGTGTAGTAGTGAAGTGCTAACTTGAAATTAAGTTATTCTGGAAAGTTTAACATTTTTAGAAACCAGCTTTCAACATTATTAAGAAATTATAGTTTTTATCGAAATGTTAATGCATGGGTGAAACATAAACAATTACTTTCGGAGTACTTGTTTTCATAGGGACAAGATGTTTCAAGAATTTCGAAAGAATTTTTCATTTTATATCATTTTTTCCATCACCCCATACGTCGCACATAGGCGCAGGGCGTTTGCGCTTTTTTACCTGTAAAATGAAAGGACATTTGGGCTTCTTACACTACGGACATTTGCACTTTAAACTTTGATACACCTGAACTAAATTGATTGGACATTTGCGCTTTTTTATCTATGAAAGGTTACTTTTAAATTTACCAAAGTAAAGGGAATATGTTCGTACATTCTTTGAAAGTTAAGAAACTTTTCTAGTTTGTTTTAATTTGTTATGACCAAAATTTGATTTTTAACCACCTGCTCTTCATATCGTTTTTGAGGAAAGAATCGTGGTTTATTTAGGAACTTACTTCTATCCGACCTCTTAAAGCTTTGCCATTTTCATCTAACACAAGCATGGCGGCGAAAGATTCAGTCATTCTAGGTGTCGGAAGTGAAATTTCATTATCCTTCATTTTTTTTTAAGAATTAATTTATATATACATATATATCTTTGTGAATACTTAAAATTATCATTTTTGTTTGACAATTCAAGAGCCTGTAATTCAGTTGTTGTCGTTTGTTGCTGTATATATTATATTTGTTTTTCGTTTATTGCTTTGTACATAAATTCAACCGTTAATTTTCTCGTTTGAATTGTAAATAAATACATTTGTCATTTCGGTGCCTTTTATAGCTTATTATTCGGTATAGGTTTTGCTTATTTTTGAAGGTGACCTATAGTTGTTAATTTTTACGTCATTTCGGTCTCTGTTGGAGAGTTGTCTCATTTTCAATCATATCATATCTTATTTTTATAAGCAGTAATACCGATCATTTTAAAAGTACAACGGTAACTATAACAGTCCTTGGCTATATATGTAGATTCTTTTCATTTAAAAATTTTATACACTTATTAAAGTTACTTTTTTTCAATAAAAGATGCTATTAATTCTAGTTGTATATAAATATATGAATGTGTTATGTTTTGGATGTAACATGATTTTTAAATTTTTAACCATAACACATGTAATTCTATAAAGCGCAAATGTCCGATAGAAAATACGCAAATGTCCTTTTTTAAGCGCAAATGCCCTAAACATTAAAAAGCGCAAATGACCATTTAAAAAAGCGCAAACGTCCCGAACACGTGTTTTATAGCCATTTTCCCCATGAACCGGGGAATAAACTGGCATGATCTCATTTTTCCCACGGTGTGGGAAACCTTTATTTTGTTACAGGGATGCCGTTTGCATTCGAAAGAATACATCCATTCAAAATAAAGAATACACTTTGTCCAAAAATCCGACCTATTCGTATGGCTTACACGAAAATGTCTTCCTATTCATATTTACTGTGGATGATACAATGTTACTGTAAACATTGGAGATTAACGCTTTCACCGCAGGAAAAAAAATTATTTAAAATTCATAAAGATATTTGACACATTGATAAATTGTTTAATAAAATTGCTACCCATTGGCATATGATAGGATGAAATTTTCCACACATTCGTATATATCTAACATCCTGAAAAAAATGGACATCGGTATATCTGATTTAAAGGAAGTGACCCCTGTGGTTGCAGCAAAACACATTACGCGAGGTACACATTATAGTTGCTAAGTATTTAGTGACACGATTATAAAGGGCATGCCAAACGAAATCATCTTTGATGAGTTTAAATTTTAAATTTAATTTTTTCTAAAATAAACGATATTTTTGAACTTACATTTCATGACGTCGTTCAGTCATTACGCTAAATATCAATTCATTTTTTTGCTGGTCAAATGCGAAATGGTATGGATTGGGGCCATGGTACCGGAAGACTGTACAAAATTATCCAATGCAACACGCAAACAAGACATCAATTGATTTCATTATATCCGATGTGATGTGATCCCTCCTACAATATTAAGCAGTCATCTTCGGGCGGTCCCAAAAAGTATATAAGAATGCATATCCAAGGGCACTCACGAATGAACAGATAAAAAGGTCAGATATACAAAGCATGCCCGTCGAACTCGATATACACTGATAACATATTTTATATCAAAATTTTCACTATTGTGCGTCTACTAAATGTATCTAATAGTCTACGTGTCTCCACTAGACCCGAATTCCATGGCAACGCAATGTCTGCATGTTCACCCGTTGGTTTGCCTGTCTAAATATCCTCCTTTATTTCAATAATATTCCACTAATTTATCTCAAGGACAGCCTCAAAGATCGATGCAAGATAAAAAAAAAAAAAGCTTAATTTACATAGTTTGGGCGTTGTGGAAATAGTTATATGTTTTGTTATCCTGCATTGCTTTTCTGGTTGTAGAAATACGTATCATATCGATCAATCCTTTTTTTCAAGTTAAGTTAAAAGGGGCGTGTGTGTGTCAAAGGGTCGTCAATGGAAAAAAAACTATGTGAATTAGGTTTTTCATTATACATTAAACTTTTGATGTGGTGCCTGAAACTGAACTTCTCTAATATTTGCAAGCATCAACTGGCTCTACTGTTCTGTGTGCGCCTGTATATTTTGATGACTCCAATAGTTTGTTATTTGTCCATTAACCAGTCTACTTAAATAATATCTCATTTTCTACTATATATTTCATTTTTCATTGGCTTTACCTAACCCATACTTTGTTTATATCTCTATGTGTGTGCAGCTGTCTGTGTCCACTAGCATGTGCATGCCAGATAATATGGGGACTTCTTTACATAACTACAAATCTTGAGTGCATGTCTACATGGCAACTCGTCTGTCTAAATGTTCATTAGTCTATCTTCATACCCAGCAGTGTTTTAACATGTCAACTAATCTGTGTAGATGTCCACAAATCTGTCTACATGTTCACCAGGTTGTATGTATACTCGCCAGTTTGTCGACATGTCCACAAGTCTGTCTACATGTCCACCAGTCAGTCTGTGTGTGTCCACAAGTCTCTCTACTAGTCTGTTTACTTGTCAACTAGTCTGTCTACGTGTTCACCAGTCTGGCAACATGTCCACGGTCTGTTTATATTTTATGTGTCCACTAGTCTATCGACATGTCCACCATTATATTCATGTGTCCACTAGGCAGTCGATATGTCCACAAGTCTGTTTATGTGTCCACTAGTCTGTTTAAATGTCCACAAGTCTGTTTACGGGTCTACCAGTCTGTGTATGTGTCTATTTGTCCGTCGACGTTACTGCAAGGGGGAAATTGAGCTGCTCGTGCTACTAGGGGGGATTGACCTGATCCTGGTTCCCGCCCCCTCCCCTTTCCATCTCTTTTCAGTATGCTGTACATAGCATGTTTTTTCTTGGTTTACGCGAAGGAGCCTGATCTGTTCAGAACCAGTTTTAAGTAGTTATTTTTTTTTTTACTATTTCGACTTCTTCATTATCAAAATTAAAAGTTTGAACAGTTTGAGTTTGCAAAAGAGTCGTTTACATTTACTCAGTTTTCTTTTAGCTATTTTACATTCGGCATGGTTCCTTTCTTTGTTATAGGGATTGTCAGGGGCGGTGCCAAATGTTTGCTTTGCAGCTTGAGTAAAAAAAATCACCTATAGCAAGGATAGTAGAATCTACAAAATTTGATTCCATTTGCATTTAAACCTATATTTCGCAGGTTTTCATCTATTACAGACAATTTTTTCGGAGTCAATGTGTTCAGTGAATATCCCATATCACAGTAGGGTTTTTCATGTGACTTTCTTATTCATAACTTTTCCCTGTCTTTTTCATGTGACCTCTTTACATACTTTTGATTTATCAGTGCCTTTTTCTACGACTGCAGCAACTAATTCTCAGGGGTCTATGTCTTCAATTCAAATCTGCATTCAGTTACAAAAGATGTCTCAATGTGAACAACTTTTACAACCAAAGAATTTAAACTTCGTTAATAGTTTAAGAATAGAAAATGCGAGATATGAGCAAAAACTTATTCAATAACTTCAGATAACTCTTATCTGCTATGAAACGCTATTTCGACAGTGTTCGTTTAACTTAATGAGTATAATCTTTCATTAGTTTACTCTGTACGATTTACTCATGTTTCTATATCTATTTATTTGAAATATAAATTTCTTCATGCTAAATTTGTTTTCTTGTCGCTTCATGACGCTAGATTAGTCTTATCGTCGTGAATTAGTGCTGGGAATAGTATACTGACATCTATATATTATATTTCAGATTAGTAAGATCTTATAAAACTTATAAACAAAATACATGATTCTGAAAAGGGCTATAGGTAACCGGCGCGCGACCTTCAACATTGAGCAAAACCCATACCGTATAGTCACGGCTAAAAAGAGTAAGACATGATTAAATGGAAAACGAGAAAACGAGAAAAACTAACGGCCTCGTTAATGTACAACTCAAGACAGGCAAACGATATTAAAGGGATTTTCAAACTCGTAAGTCGAAAACAAACTGACAATTCCATGACAAAAAACGGGAGCGAACAACAGTACACAAATCACAAAATATAAAACAAAAGACTGCAACATGACTCGATCCCACCAAAAAAACGGGGTTGATTTCATTTTCTCCGGAAGTTTAAGCAGATCCTGCTCACATCATGCACATGTGGCACAAATAAACAAAATGCTTCTTCTTCTCTTAGTAGATCCCTCCGTTATCGGAGCATCCGTATCACACTGTATTAAAAGCCCTTAGTTTTACTATTAAGAATTAAAATTGTAAGATAAAAAGGGTTGTATACAGTCTTTCATAAGATATTAATGTCCTAAAAAAATATACAGAGATGTAGAAACCATAATTGAATTCTATTTACACCTATTAGTGCGAGTGAATTTTTTTACATAATGCATATTTACATATATATACATATAGAATCTCAGCCAGTTTAATACCTGTATTCCGATGGGATAGAGGTTTAAAAACTTATAAAACTTGGAGTTTGTTTATCTATTTCCTTGAATCATTGCCTGATACTTGATGGAGGTATAGGTTTATCACTATAAACATTTATTATACAGTCTTTATAGCTCTAGAATATATTCGCCATTGTCTCATGTTTCTATATCTATTTATTTGAAATATAAATTTCTTCATGCTAAATTTGTTTTCTTGTCGCTTCATGACGCTAGATTAGTCTTATCGTCGTGAATTAGTGCTGGGGATAGTATACTGACATCTATATATTATATTTCAGATTAGTAAGATCCTCTTTTCACATTATTAAAAAAAAAGTAGTCTTATTACAAATGATTCGGAGAGGAAACAATCTGACGATAAGGAAGTTGCTTGCGAATAATACCATTGACTTCGGATGAGATAGGAAAGTCTAGAGTAAATCGAAAGAAGAAAAAGCAAATGGCCGATATGGCTCAATTTTCAATGGTTGCAGTTTTTGCTGCATTTATATTCCTTACATGGAGAGATCTCTCACAGACTGAACAAGCTGACGTACATAAAGATATTAAAGCTCCAAAATTAGCCTTAGCAACTCCCACAATCAGATTCCTTTTTTGGTAAGCGTCCACTTCTTATATTATGCCCCTCCAGGTGACCAAGTAAAAAAATAGTTCGAGAAAAGTGGTCTCAGTCTCGAGGCCGCGAAGTCTCTCGTAACTTGACGTCCATTTGAAAATAAAAGTTAAAATGCAGGAATCGATGGGTCACTGTAAAAACTGTCCAAATATGAGAAAATAAAGGGTGGCAGGTAGGTGAAACTTGCATAAATGAAGAGATAAATGAAAAATGAACAAACTGAGGCCCGATTTATATGGATCCAAGGCCGTCAGTCGGCTCCAGAAGCAACAAAGCGGCGCATCGATTTTGGACGGGCAAATATCCACTTTTTGATATGGGACGAGGTCTGACGTCCCTCGGCCCCAGATTGTCTGGCTAAACAGCGGTTATCTCATCTTAGACTTAGACTAGTAAAAAAATAAAGGTTTACTATATACATGGGATAGTTTAAAATGTGAAATGGTTGAACGTTCAAACCCCCATGTACAAGACAAAGTGCCATCAAATATATATACAACACTCCATATCCTGCACTTCTTTGATTTTATCTTGTTTAATTTGTTGCTCTTCTCACATCTTTTTGTGTCTTGATGTATTCCTTATTTGTATACCTTGTAATCTGACCGGGGCTAATCCAGAAACTCCTATGCCGTAGGATTGTTAAGAGGTCAAACAAAAATTAAAGTGGTTATTAGGAGGCTGTTGAGATGCAGTGCACAGCCACTTCAAAAACTAATATGCATACACAGACATGAATGGTTGGTCGAAATTTTGACGGTAATTTGGATGTCTTGTGTAGGGAGTTTTATAAAGTTCTGGCACCAAGTAGATCCTGCGCAAGTTGTTGCTGTCCCAAGTAGATCTGGCACAAGTTGTAACAGCCCCAAGTACAAAATCTAGATCCAGCACAAGTTGTAACAACCTCAGTTAATACTGCCCATGTTTTTTTTAGGTCAATCCATGATCATCCGCTTTTAGAAAATTATCTAAAAGGGATGTATAGTGACTTGTTGCATGTGTAGTAAATACAGGTTATAATATCAATGGTCATGATGGTGGACGATATGATGCAATTTTTCAAATAGTATTTTGATTAGAGACATTTCTTCTATTTTCTTTTAAATATCACAACTTTGCTTTGACTCCCTGATATCTTGGCCAATAATAAATTCAGACTATAACCATGATAACAAACTTGGTGTACAACAAAATTGGCCTCACAAACTCTGCCTTTAACAACCTTGGACTACTGTTCTAGAAGAATTTAAGTAAGATAAACAATATTAATGCTATTTATTTTAATTGAAATTACAATGTACATGTATTTATCAATTAAAATAATAAAATTAGTTATATTACACCAATTTAGTGTTACAACAAAGAAATTTGAATTACATTAACTAGATATAAACAAATGATAAAAGAAAATTAAACTACTTCAGTTAATATTCAATAGTTTTTATTTCATTTTTTAATTATATGTAAATATACACATGACTTATTTGAATGAACATGACCTATCATTACAGGTGCATACTGCCATGTGTACTCATGACACCTTTTTAATCACCTTTAAACTAATTACTAGCACATGTACTCTCCATACCTTTTTAATAACCTTTAAACTAATTACTGTCAGGTAAACTGTTGATACCTTTTCAATGGGCGCTTTACATTTGCGTGCATTTGGGGATTAAATTTTTTATGTTTATGCGCAGCTTTTGATTACATTTGCGCGCATTCATTTCACAGGTAACACAGGTAAAAATGAAGATAATTCATAAAAGATATAACTATAGTAATTATGAATTTTGAACATATTTATAAATTTAAATTATACATTTTTCATATTGAATTCTAAAAATTAAAAGAAAGGATCATGAGAAATCCCGTAATAGTTAAGACATACATGTATCTTAATTGCGAATATTTCAGAGTAAATAGTAATTTTTACAGAATTTTACAGAAAACTGATCGCTTTAGTAAATAATTTGTCAGTTTTAAAGCTGCGTCAAGGCACTTGAGAGGATATTTCATGGCGATGCACCGTAAATAATTGCAAAGGTATTTCACCAGATTCCCTATTTCCTCCAAGTCTTTGGGCATCACTACCATAAGCAGAATCTAGGCGTACTACAAACTGCCTGGAATCATTCCATGCTCACTACAATGAGTAATTGTATTCAGCAAATCCATGTATTTTTGTGTTTTGTGTTTCCTGAAAGCAGTACATTAGTGGGCTTCAAAATATTCAGCACGTTACGACATGTAAAATCAGTACTTCAATTTATAGATTTGCAATGTTTTTACATTTTTATCTGTATATATTTCCAGGACTAAAGGCTTATGCATAATAAAACCGACTTATCCTGCTGGAAAATAATAGTTAAATAAATAAATAAGTATAATTTACCTGTAATTACCCAAGTTTACCTGTAAAATGAATGTGCGCAAATGTAATCAAAAGCTGCATGCAAACGTAATGTTTTTTGCGTACAAATGTAATGCACTGTTTTCAATCTCCCATTAAACTAAGTCATGAGATCATTACAACCTGTAGTTACACAACTGTATGACATTATTTCTATCCAAGAATCTAGTAACTTCTCAGTACAGATTGGATTGCTATGTGTGTTTAAGATGTTTTTTGTGTCCCGTTTAAAATAATTTTGGCCTTCTTTTACTTAATGTGTACTTAGCTAAGGGTCCCTTTACTTAACATGCTTAATAGTTAGGGTTCATCTATGGTTAGGTTAGGGCTTGTGTTATGGTTAGACATGGGTTAGGGTACCATAAGGTTAAGGCCAATAGGGTAAAGGATAGTTTAAATATAGTATACATTTCGTAGCTGTAAATAGGTTGGGCCACTAAAGTAAAATCTAATTGTCATTATAATAGAAAAACAAAGGATATGGGGTATTCATCCATAACACAAAATTAGTACAAATGTACATGCACAGAAAAAAACGCACATAAAGCAAAGGAACAGTGCGTTTATTACTGTTCTTCATCTCAAAAGTCTAAGTATTATGTACGTGTTACTTTTTTATACGACCGCAAAAATTAAAAAAATTTTGGTCGTATATTGGTATCACGTTGTCGACTTCTTCCGAAGACAGAAGGTTTCCGGATAATAACTTTAGTAAAGGTAAATAGAAATCTATAAAATTTTAACACAAGGTTTATAACCACTAAAGGAAGGTTGGGATTGATTTTAGGGGTTATGGTCCCAACTGTTTAGGAATTAGGGGCCAAAAAAGGGGCCCAGATAAGCATTTTTGTAGTTTCCAGACAATAACTTGTGTTAAAGTGTATGAATCTCTCTGAAATTATACCACAAGTTTCCATACTACAAAGGGATGGTTAGGATTGAATTTGGGGGGTTATGGCTCAAACCATTTAGGAATTGGGGGCAAAAAAAGGGGAAAAACAAGGGTTTTTCTGGTTAAAGGACAATTGAGACAATTTAAAAGCAGTGTTAGGGAGGTAATCCAAATCAAAATCCAAATCAATTTAAATAACAATGTTTGATTACCTCCCTTACACTGCTTGTAAATTATGTATTAAGAAATGATGACTGTCTGAGATACTGACCATAACTTGAGGGAAAGAATTATTTTTTGGAATAAGGGAAAGGGGGGAGGTGAAAAATTGGAGGGGGGCAATTTTTCTCATTTCAGATTTCAGAAATTAAAAGAAAATTTCTTCATATATTTTTTTTTGGGGGGTTAATATTCAACAGCATAGTGTATTGCACAAACGCAAAATACGGGGTAAAATTTTATTTTTTTGGGGGGGGGGTCAATTTGCATAGTGTATTGCACAAAAGCAAAAAATTGAATATAAATGCTCTTTGTCTACAGTTATTCTGTGTCAGAAACCTATTATGTGTAAAAAATTTAATTACAATCCAAATTCAGACCTGTATCAAGCATGAATATTGTGTCCATTTTGGCCGCAACTTTTCAGGGTTGGACATCTGCGGTCGTATACAGCTGCGCTCAGCGAAGCAATTTATTGTATATATTTAATTGTGTCTGTGTGAAAAATTATTTTTTTATTCAATTAACATTTGTACCTGGATTCCTTGGCAAAAAATACAACAGCCATCCTTTCAATACATTCAGCAATTTTACAAGGTCCCTATTTCAAAGTTTCCATTTTAACTCTGTAAATCTTTTATTCTCTGCTGCGAAATATTCACTGAATTCTTCAGTATTGACAATGATTGATGTACTTGGAAGGTAGTTTTGATCTTTTCCTGTCTTTGTACTACAGCAGAAACTTGGTTTCTTCAATTTTGTTTCTCATTATTGATTGCAATAGCTCTCAACCTTACTGACCTCATAGAGGATCCTATCACAGGTGCTTGGGGAATTCCCCCTTTTCTATATATATATTTAAAACAAAAATTTAGTAAATATTCCTTAATATTTAAACTCATCCAGAAATTAAAAAGTTCAAATTAGTAGCTTTTATTTCTTATTTAGTGTATTACTGACAATGGACATTGTTGTCAAATGCATGCACTGTATAACTGCAAATGCAAGGAATGAATCATGAAGTCTTGTAATTTCGAAATGTTTCCCCCCCATATTTTGGCGGCTGTAAAGAACTTTCCAAATTATCAGACTTAATGATTTGTTGCTTCAGTTGTCACGATTTGAGTTAAACAGCGATGCATTTGTCAGCATATTTGAAGAGATAAATAAAAAAGTTTTAGGGAAGAAAAAATAAGGAGATACGTATAATGTATGAGAGGATGAAAAATGCAGTGTTTTGGAAAGATGTAGTTTTAAGGACATAATGACATTGTTGAGTAAAATATATATAAAACATGCTTTTGGGGAGGGACACATTTGAGAGTGTTACTTTGTGTTGCATTTATATATTATTTGATAAATAGTAACTGAACTTTCAACAATGCAAAGGCTGGGAAAAGTGAACTATATATTTTAAAAAGAAAGGGATAAGCTAAACCTTGAAATGTATTCTTTAAATTGTTTTAATTTTTTTTTTTTGCAGTTACTCCTGAGGGTACAAGAAAGTTTTTGAGCAATACGCTCATGCTTTACATGAGCGGTTCCCAGAACTGAGCATCGAGGGAGATAATTATCCTCCACCTCCGACTCGTTCTGCCATTGCTCAATTTCTCAGCATATTTAAATTAGTTGTGATAGTAATGATTGTTAGTGGACAGAACCCTTTTACACTTCTCAATATGGATACGCCTAGTGTTTTTACCTGGGCTCAAGAAAATAAAGTAAGTATTTGTGTGAACTGATACACAAATGTGTATTACAGCCGGTATTGAATGGATTCAGGTTCCTATCATCATGATCATTGAAGTTAAACAGACAAGTGAAAAAGTTCATTGATTGCCATTTCAAACAAACTGTTAAGTCTATAGTCATGAGAGTAACTAGGGTCAAACTAACATGATAGCAGTTTTAGTTTGACCCTAGCTTATGTAAGACAATGAACACTAGACATCTTGTACTTTTTATTTTGTCATGTTTATGGAATCAAGGAAATTAAACTTTCCCAATGGATGCAATGAAAAGATTTGCCTTTATCAAGATAAACATAACAAAACTATATTTATAACATTGTAAACGCATCATCCACTGTGGTGGTTTGAGAGCTAAAATAAAAAATTTGGCATGAAGAAAATTAATCTACATAAACAGAAATAAGAGGAAATTTGGGGTTATACAAATCAACCTAAGAACACAAAAAAAACCAAAAAGACATCCATCTATATACTGGATCAGTGTACTGGATTACAAATGTGTTGAGTGTTGTGATTGGGTAACTATACATAGTTTTCAGGTAAGATTGAGACAGGGGTAATCTGTGATACAAGTGTAATTTAGGTTACTATATATAGTATTTCTAGCTTAGGGTTTAAATTCCCTTCGTCTTCAGCTCAGGGAATATAAACCATAAGCTGGAAATGTCACATTATATATACTGTCTGAAACCTGCATGAATAACATATACCTAATACCGTATATCAACTTTTTTGCGTCAACTTTTTTTCACGATTTGATTACAAAATGGGCAGGTTAAATTTTCACTGTGTATAATTTTCGCTGATTGGGAAAATACACGCAAAAAAAGAATTGTATCTTTTTTTTACAGATGTAAACAACATGAACTTTTATTAAATGACAGTTAATCGATTGCAAATAAATATGAGTACTACAGAGGAAAATACAAATAATTGAGAGAACTTTCATGGATTGTAAATTATGAATATTAGGGCATGCTAAAATTTAAGGTTTTAATCGTTACAGATAAATACCAATATTCGTGTAAATGTGATTTTTTTTTTTAAATTTTACATTATAGGCAAAAGATTCGGGTGATGACACCAATCAATAGATTGTGGCTAAAAAACATTTTTAACATGCCACTGATTGCTGTGTTGTCAAAAGTGTGACATGTATGATTAGCCAATTTAATTATTATGAAAACAGTGATCTTAATTAAGTATGCACATGCTTGTGATCTGTCAAAAAACACAACAAAAGACTCATAACTTGACAGTATTATGTATGAAACTTTCAAACAACTATAAATCTTGGAATATGCAGGGTAATTTAAAAGGGGTCAAATTTTTGTGTTTCTTTCTGCCGCAAACAAAGCAAAAATTAAACACACATGTAAAAAAACGATATACGGTATAATATACAGTAGAAATATGATAAATATAGAAATACTGTATTTTTCTCTTTTTCAGATTTATGCTTGTTTAATGATATTTTTTATCAGTAATGCTATTGAAGGACAGATGATATCCACAGGTGCCTTTGAAGTCTCTTTTAACGGTAAGTTTTTGATATTTAGTGATTTTTTTGCCATTGAAGTCTCTCAACATTTTAAAGGTAAGTTTTTAATATTTTAGCCATTGAAGGACAAATAATATCCACTGGTGCCTTTGAAGTCTCTTTCAAAGTTAAGATTTATATAATCATATCTTCTGGTGCCTTTGAAGTCTTCTTGTAAGTTTTGACATGGAAGTATTATATTGACAGGAACTCCAACAAAAAATGAGCACATTCCCATCTCCACTGATTTCTTTAGAAAATGAAAGGTTTGACACAGTTTGTCAAGTACGTGATAATTCCTTTTGGGGGGGATCTATGATGCTGCCTTTGCTTGTTCTGTTAACTGGAGCTAATCTTATCAAGTGATTTGTATCGAATGTATTACCTACCTACCAATATAATTAAACAGGAAAACTCCCATGTTTATGTGTAGATCGCTACATGAATGACAACACTTGCATCATTTCAATAAACAAAGGCAAAAGTAGAAAAGATCTAAAAAATCAGTCAAGATTTAATAGAATAAACGAAAATGAAATGAATTGTATTGGAAGGAAGGTAAGATTATATTTATTTTTGGGGCAGGAGGTTTTTGAAAATGAATAACCAACTGGTAAGAAGTACTTGGCACAAGACAAGATGAAAATGAATATTCTGCTGTCATAGAATATATGAGTTCCTTCATAATATAAGTTCCAAATGGAACAAATATTCTAGAATATTATTTCCACTGGAACAAATATGACAGTATACAATAGACAGCAGCCTTCTCATGAAAAAAAATCTTTACGATTAACATTGATTGTAACTTAAGCTGAAATGTTCATGACTTGAGAGTATTTTCAATCTTCAGATTTTTGGTGAAAACATTCTCTGAGTTTTCTTGTCTTCCTTTGTATTTTTTTAACACAGTAAAACACTTAAAAACTAACAAATTTGCCATTTAGTGACATGGTCTTTAAATGTCATTTCCTTGACAATTAAGTACACATCTGGTTATTTCAGTATATTTTGTAAATACAATCAATGAAGGAGTTCCAAAAAATTTGATTGAACCCATGCATCGATTTGACATATCTAGTTAATTAACATATACTTAATGATTTTGCGGCATCACACTTTAAACGTTTGAAGTTGGTTTGTTGGAGTTCCTATGAATAGAATGATTTTGTATACTGGGTAATAAAGGATAGATATTAAATGGTCTCTTTGAAGTCTCTTTTTATGGTAACTTTTACATATGAGTTAGGACAGTCAAATTTATTGCTGCCGTAACATTTGAATATTTTTATCTATTCCATAGAACATGTAGAAGGACATATGATATCCATTGGTGCATTTGATGTCTCTTTTAACTGTAAATTTTTATAAGATATATTTATGCCCTCACTGCTAGGTGAAGGGGGCATTAAGTGTTACCCTTTTCCTTTCGTCTTTTTGTCTGTTCTTCCTTCTGTCTGTCCCAAAAGTATTTTCACATATTATAATATAAGCAAGCTTGAGAGGGGGCATTTGTGTCCTCAGACACATTCTTCCTTTATCTTTATATTACGTCATTTCAATGTTTTTTGGTCACAAGATGAATATTTTTATAACTGATTTCAAATTCTTGGATTTATTAATAATTTTTTATTACATTAACTTTTATTTTTGTTAAAGTAAAAATGCTAGGAACTGTATCATTTTCTGTGCATTCTCATTTTATTTTGATGCAATTCAACTTCTTTGACATCTTGATAACACATCTTGTTGTATGATGTCATAGGAGTAAAAGTAAAAAGATTTATTTTATTTGTTATATATCGATTTTATTTGACTGTAAAATCAAGTTATCAATATGTCATTGCAGCCAATGTGATAATTACTTATAATTACTTCTTATCTGATTCTTACAACATTATGTTCTTTAAAAACAATGTAATCCTAATCTACATTAAAGTGGATACATATGATCATTTTCTGGAAATGCAAAAAAATTTCAAATTTTGTATTTGCTGTTCCATATAAAGTTCCATAACATTCCTGACTAATTGGAAAAAAAATGATTTAGTGATTTCTGAGTAATCAACATAAATGACTTTGTATGAACATGACGATGAAACTAACAATTAACATATACATGTATCATCTTTTTTTATGGCACAGATGTTCCAGTTTGGTCAAAGTTAGAAACAGGAAGAATACCGCAGCCAGGAGAAATATTTCAAATTATAGAAAATCAAATGAAATTTAAATCAGATGGTGTGAAATAACATTACTGGTATTTGTAATCATAGTTCTATGGTTTATAAATAAGTAAGTACAATTAGTCCTCAGTAGAGTTATACTACTGTTATGTGAAAAGAAAAACAATTAAAACAGGGAAACAATACCCCCCCCCCCCCCCCCTCCCCCCCTAAAAAAAACAACAAATAAAATAAGGAAACATCCCCCCACCCCAGATGAATTAGCATGAGCCAGGTGGGGATCCCGGATTTGAAAAGGGTGAGGGGGCCAGGCAAGCCAATGTTTGGAGTGATACTTGTAAAAAGTCTATGCATTTATCATGTATGAAGCTCCAAAAGAGAGGCTAAGCCCCCCTAGACCCCCTAAATCTGCCTGTTTTGAAACTCTCATATCAATGGAGATAATTCGTCCATGCCCCCTCAGTTATGGTTTATTGACTTTGAAATTTTTGCATAGTTTACATGTAAAAGTTTGTGATTAGGTCATGTTGGACAGTTTAGGATAAACTATACTAATGGTTAGTCAATGATTTTGGTATGCAGTTGCTGAGTTGCATTTACATTAGTACATCTTATTTCTTTGGAATTGATATGATTCCTCCACTCAGTCATGATTCATTGACTTTGGAACTGTGCATAGTTTACATGTATAAGTTTGTGAGTAAGTCAGTTAAAGGGAATACAATAATATACATGTATGGTATACAGTTGTTTTAGCATTAGCATATATCATTTCCACAAAGATTATTTGGCCCTGTTTCTTTTGTAATGGTTCATTGACTTTGAATGTTTTGCATAGTTTACATGTTAAATTATTGCTATTTTAATTTTAACATTTGCATTTTACTAACAAAATAACATACAGGAGAGACATATCTCTGTGCCAACAGTTTATCATTTGACTTGTCAGGTGTTTATTGACCAAATGTAAAGCACACTATTGCGTAATAGTTGTAAAGTTGGTTTTCTTTTGATTTATCAGGTGTTTATTGACCCAAATTTAAAGAAAACATCATGGTGTAAAAGTTCTTGTGATGTCATTTCTCAGATGTTTACTATCCAAAGTTAAAATTTGTCATCAGAGACCTTAAAACTGGTGTAATAGCAGAAGCTCATTATGTCAAAAATATGAACAGCCCAAATATTTCAAGCACTTTTCAAATGGTTAATTAGTAATTAAAAATTGTTTCTGAACATCTCACAATAATATTTTGCTATTTCATAACAATATATCGCCTGTAGTCTGATGTAAAGAAATTTGAGTGGTAAAGACTTGTCTTGATTTATTTGAATTTATTTGTTTTGTAAATAAATGCAATCACAGCATATTGACCAGATTTTTTCAACATTTGCAGCCAAATAAAGTTTGTCATGAAGAGGAACCAACTGCAGCACATCACAAATCTGACTAATGAAGGTTGGTACTGAAAGCAGCCATGTTGCTGGTACCTAACTGGATCAACCAATCAGAAGCTGTGTTGTTTTACAGTTAGCCAATCACTGATAATGTTTTGTTTGTTTACTTATAAACTGATTGTCCATATTTGTATATTTATGTAAATATGATTTTTGATTATTCTGTGATGAGATCCTTTACATCAAAGCTTTACAATATTCCAACATTCTTTTACTGGTTCATCTGTAAAATATGATCATATATTTGTTCCTAATTTCATTTGTTTTTAAATCAATCTTATTTTATGTCTTTGAAAAAGAACTACAGATGACATACCAGTTAACAAAATGTGTTTGTACCATAAACTCAAACTGTTATCAACAAAAAAAGGTTCATTAGTGAACTTTTTTTGCATGATATTTAATGGGTAGATGAACAGTTGTTATTTATATCAATTGTATTTATAGATATTGAAAATATCAAAAAGACAAGAAGACATGTCAATAAAACATTTAGTCTTTAAATTCAAAAATTTTCTTTCTTCTCTAAATATAATTTTTTTCAGAATTTGTGTATCTTGAAATCAGGAAGGTATACTATGCTAAAGATTAACACAAAGAAATCTAAATAAATGTATTTGAATTCTTTTGAAAGTGATTTGCATACACCTTATCGCTATTCCCGCTTGACCCGAAAATCTGTCCCGCTTGAACTTTTGACGTCATACAACAATCACTTTTCCATTGTGGCGTCAGATATTTTCTATTATGACGTCAAAATTTTACGGGAACTTTTGTGATGTCCAGTAATGGCGGACAAATAGCGATAAGGTGTATTGTAAAGTGAACTTGAGTTCTTGCTTCTTTCTTTTCTAAATGTCAAGTTTTCTAATACAAAGAGAATACAAAGCCATATGTCATATCCTTTTTCCACAACATGTTCTTAAAACTGACATATCCCTGTCTGAATTTAATCTAACAACACCCAAGTTTTTATTGATTAGAAATAAAGGTTTTAGAATTTAACAGCAACATGCTGTGTTTAAGTAAAGTCTTCTTTAACTTTTTATACATTGTGACTTGGATGGAGAGTTGTCTCATTGGCACTCATACCACATCTTCTTATTTATGAGTACTAAATGAAAGCTCCAAGGTTTTATCTTTGTCAAATGGGTCAGAGGTTCTCTCGGGCACTCTGGCTTCATCCACCAATAAAAACTGGCCTCCATGGTACATGTATATATATATAGCCTAGAGTGATGAAAGAGGCTTTAACACAATCAACCAATCAATCTTTGTTAAACAGGAAATTTCTACATTAAATTCATTATTATTGCAGCTGTCAATGCTAAAAATTAGTATAAACTAATAATTATTTACTGCATATATTATATAAACGGATGTCTGTACATTGTTTACATTTTGTTTTGTCTTGATATGATGTAAATGTGTTTTTTGTATTGAAATGAATTTCATGATGTTATATTATTTGCTGAGAAGTTGTATTGTGGTGTATACATGGTGTTCAAATATGCATTTGATTTAATGATTACATGTGGGTATGTTTTTCTAAACTAGTCAAGTTCTGGTGTCATTCATGAAAACTTGATTGTTTTACTCTTTACCATTCCATATACAAATGATATACCTTAATTTCAGAAATAAGTTGCCATTGATTTTATATTGATTTTTATATATTTTCCAGATAAATTTTAAAGTAAAATTTGAAATAAGAATTCATGGCATAGTTTTTTATGTCTATCATCTCTTTAGATATTATTTCAGTAAGATAAATGAACAAATTCTGCTGTAGATTGATTTGTGAACAAATATAAGATTTTTCAGTAGAGAGGTGGAAATTTATTACATCATTGTACCTCCCGCATTCTTAATGTTTAAATTACTGTTGTGAGGAGAAATTAGAGACAAAATTTGAAATATATTTTGAAATTCTAAAGTTTTTCGGTCAGAAGAAATGTTTCATCAGATGATACAACTAGCGATCCTTAATAAGAGATCATTTTATGTTATCGAGAGCTTCATTCATTATATAATGATTACAAATATGTAAGGAGAGAAGACGTTAGCATTATCATGTAGTTTTTATTGTGATTATGTGACTATCTGTTACATAAGAGAAAGAATCATATATCATAATATATCAGATATATTTTTGTTTTTGGATAATTTTACAAACATTGTCCTTTAGATTTTGAAACAGCAAATTATGATGCAAATAATTAAAAAGAGAATATTATCACATTGATTTCTGTCTTGTTACCTCCCTTTCTTTTATACCAGTCCCTTGTCATGGCACTTTAAAAAAAAAAAACTTTCTTTCAGAACACATAACATTAAATTGGTCATATATACTGCATTACATGGGTTTACAGCCAAACAAGTAAATCCTGATCCGTGATATATTATATAAGAACGAGAAATGGTTCTTGTAATACTGTGTTAGTATAACTGGGTATGTAAATGTGATATAATTATAACTAGATTGTATTGTAATCAGGCTCAATGTTCATTTACAGTAAATAATTGTTGTATGAAAATAAATTGATATACTTTTGACATTTTTATATTCAATGTGACATGTTTAAACTGCATGGTAATGTACCTTGTATGTAGGTTTAATCAATCAGTGTACTGTAAACTCAGAAATTATTGCAAATAATGTGACTGGTTGAATATCACAATATTAAATAATAAGAACTTGCATTCTGATATCCGATACATATATCTGCAAACCAGTTTTCCTAAAATTTCAATAATATTCACATTTTTATACGACCGCAAAAAAATTTTGTGGTCGTATATTGGTATGACGTTGGCGTCGTCGTCGTCGTCGTCGTCCGGCGTCGTCGTCCGAATACATATTGGTTTTCGCACTCTAACTTTAGTTTAAGTGAATGGATCTTTTTGAAATTTGACCATAAGGTTAAATACCACAAAAGGAAGGTTGGGATTGATTTTGGGGGTTATGGTACCAACAGTTAAGGAATTAGGGGCCAAAAAGTGGCCAAAAATGAGCATTTTCTAGTTTCCAGACAATAACTGTGGAACGGTGTATGGATCTCTCTGAAATTATACTACAAGTTTCCATACCACAAAGGGATGGTTAGGATTTGCTTTGGGGGGTTATGGCTCAAACCGTTTAGGAATTAGGGGCAAAAAAGGGGGAAAAACAAGGTTGTCCTGGTTAATGGACAAATACTTTAGTACAAAACATAATTTAAAGCAGTGTAAGGGAGATAAATCAAATACATCATTGAAATTATCTCCCTTACACTGCTTTTAAATTATGTATAAAGTAATGGTTAATGAACAATAAAGATAATCTAAAACAGTGTAAGGGAGGTAATCCAAATACAACGTTTTGGTTACTTCCCTTACACTGCTTTTAAATTATGTTTAAAGAAATGCATATTTATAAAGGAAGACCAGTAAAAATATCTGCAAATGTTTTCATCTTTTTTTTTTACAAAAAAATCCATATGAAAGATTTGACACTATATTTTTATTAATTCTATTATAAAATAGATTAAGTTAGCACTATGGTAAATTTAAATGGGTAATTATGGTTGCCAACTCCATTGGAAATTTGAATTGAGATTATGACCATATCTTGAGGGAAAGAATTTTTTTGGGGGAAAAAGGGGGGGGGGGGGATAAAAAGAAATTGTGGGGGGCCAATTTTTTCTCATTTCAGATTTCAGAAATTAAAAAGAATTATTCTTCAAATATTATTTTTTTTTCAAATTTCAAATATTGAAAAATTTCAAGAAGTAATCTTTAATTGCACAGTATGGCGCATTAGATTTGTAAAATCTTTGATCACATTTATTTATTTGTTATGCCGAATCTAACAGTGTATTTAGATTTTTAATTTTGGGTCCAGTTTTCAAATTGGTCTACATTAATGTCCAAAGGGTCCAAAATTAAACTTTGTTTGACTTTAGCAAAAATTGAATATATGAGGTTCTTTGATATGCTGAATCTAAACATGTATTTAGATTTTTGATTTTTGGCCCAGTTTTCAAGTTGGTCCAAATTGGGGTCCAAAATTAAACTTTGTTTGATTTCAACAAAAATTGAATATATGGGGTTCTTTGATATGCTGAATCTAACCATGTATTTAGATTTTTTATTTGTGGACCCCGTTATCTAATTGGTTCATATTGAGGTCAAAAGGGTCCAAAATTAAACTTTGTTTGATTTCATCTAAAATTGAATTATTGGGGTTCTTTGATATTCCAAATCTAACCGTGTATTTAGGTTTTTAATTTTGGGTCCTGTTTTTTAAATTGGTCTACATTGAGGTCCAAAGGGTCCAAATTAAACTTAGTTTGATTTTAACAAAAATTGAATTCTTGGGGTTCTTTGATTTGCTGAATCTAAACATGTGTTTAGATTTTTGATTATGGGCCCAGTTTTCAAGTTGGTCCAAGATAGGGTCCAGTATTTAAACTTTGTTTGATTTCAACAAAAATTGAATATATGGGGTTCTTTGATATGCTGAATCTAAACATGTATTTAGATTTTTGATTATGGGCCCAGTTTTCAAGTTGGTCCAAATTGGGGTCCAAAATTAAACTTTGTTTGATTTCAACAAAAATTGAATATATGAGGTTCTTTGATATGCTGAATCTAACCATGTATTTAGATTTTTTATTTGTAGGCCCCGCTATCAAATTGGTTCATATTGAGGTCAAAAGGGTCCAAAATTAAACTTTGTTTGATTTCATCGAAAATTGAATTATTGGGGTTCTTTGATATGCCAAATCTAACCGTGTTTTTAGATTTTTAAATTGGGTCCCGTTTTTTAAATTGGTCTTCATTGAGGTCCAAAGGGTCCAAAATTAAACTTAGTTTGATTTTAACAAAAATTGAATTCTTGGGGTTCTTTGATATGCTGAATCTAAACATGTGTTTAGATTTTTGATTATGGGCCCAGTTTTCAAGTTGGTCCAAGTTGGGGTCCAAAATTATACTTTTTTTGATTTCAACAAAAATTGAATATATGGGGTTCTTTGATATGCTGAATCTAACCATGAATTTAGATTTTTTATTTGTGGGCCCCACTATCAAATTGGTTCATATTGAGGTCAAAAGGGTCCAAAATTAAACTTTGTTTGATTTCATCAAAAATTGAATTATTGGGGTTCTTTGATATTCCAAATCTAACTGTGTATTTAGATTTTTAATTTTAAGTCCCATTTTTTAAATTGGTCTACATTAAGGTCCAAAGGGTCCAAAATTAAACTTAGTTTGATTTTAGCAAAAATTGAATTCTTGGGGTTCTTTGATATGCTGAATCTAAACATGTGTTTAGATTTTTGATTATGGGCCCAGTTTTCAAGTTTGTCCAAGTTGGGGTCCAAAATTAAACTTTGTTTGATTTTAACAAAAATTGAATATATGGGGTTCTTTGATATGCTGAATCTAACCATGTATTTTGATTTTGGACATTGGACCATAATAGGTAAATTAAAAAAATTCAAGTTCTTAGACCACATTCTTTCTGTGTCAGAAACCTATGCTGTGTCAAATATTTAATAACAATCCAAATTCAGAGCTGTATCAAGCTTGAATGTTGTGTCCATACTTGCCCCAACTGTTCAGGGTTCGACCTCTGCGGTCGTATCAAGCTGCGCCCCAGCGAAGCATTTTATTGTCTCGTGAGATGAGACATGCTTTATACTTCCGAAGCTAGAAGACCTGGATTCTTCATACCTTGTATGCTGATACCTTATGTTGTGAAGTTTCTGTCTGTCATATATCCATTGTCCTTGACCTCATTTTCATGGTTCAGTGGCTGCTTGAAAAAAAAAGTTTTTTTTTTAAAGTGAAAATACTCACTTATTATGAGTAAGAGGATAACTATATTTGGTATATGGGTTCCTTGCATATGGGGTCTGCCTTTACCTTATTTTCATGGTTCATTTGTCAATGTTAAGATTTTGTGGTTTGATCTGTTTTGCAGGTACTATTATCGATAAGACCACTATATTTGGTGTATGGAATGATTGAAAGGTGTACACTTCTGTCTAGCATGGTTCATCTGAACGTGACTTCATTTTCATGATTCATTGATAACGTTAAGTTTATATGAGAACTTGTAGTAAAACCTTCATATTACAGACTTTCAACATAACTTCAATCATAAGTAAAGCAGGAGAGACATTTCAGTGTGTGCACTCTTGTTCTTTAAATTATCAGTATGAGGGCTTCATGTGTCTACTTTAAGGTTCTAACAGCATTTTGGCATATTTCTGAACATGTAGCAACATTTAAATTTCCTTAAAATGGCACAAAACTGCAATGAAAGTAAATATTTTTGTTGTTGTAATTATATTTTTTGAAAAAAATGAATACAAAAGACATTCTTAACCAAAACAAAGGTTAAAACAAAGGTTATATTGGAATTAAAGCTATGTATTGTATTTCAGCTACAATTTAATTCTTGTTTGTTAAGGATGTCCTTTGTAGCAAAGTTTCTACAGGAATTATTTGCAATGTTGTATCAAGATAGTCTACAATAACAATACATAAGGATAACAAAAATATCTCACATATCAATCAACAACTAAACAATTTATAGCTGCAATCTAAGGAATATGTGTGAATTGGTTCCTTATTTAGGCTTTCTAATATGAAGCTCCATAAGGGGGGCCACTGCTCCCCCCTAAATCTGCCTCTGCATAAGTGAGCCCACAGTTTATCTTATTACTACAACAAAACACCATATTGGTCTTCTGTCAAGTATGTATTGCAAAATAATTTAATTTTGTAGAAATAAAAGGTAGACAAAACAATCTAACATTGACGATTCTTGTTCTTCACAGCTTCAATTCTACCTAGAGCTAGACAGCACCAGCATATTTATGTCCAAATCTTCTTGATTTTGATGTTACTGGGTCAAATTTCACAGAAGCAATTAATGAACTATAATTTGGTCAAATTTTTGAATTTCAGACAATTTTTATTTTAGCTTGATAACATCCCTTTGGAAGACCACTTCTGATTTTGGAGTCAAAGGTCAAGGTCACAACAGCATGTGATAGACTGTAATGTGCCTTATTTCTGGTTTCCAATGGATCTCTTTGAACCATATGTCCAACATTCACCAATCTGCTTGAAAATGGTCATGAGAAAGAACATGACCCCTATTGATTTTGAGATCCATGAGTCAAGGTCACAGGTGCAACTTTATTATAGACTCAATTTCGACATTGTTTTTTGTTTTCGAATTATGATTTGAACAAATACCCAATCATTATGAAAGTTATTTGATAATATCCTCTACAGTCTTCATAACAAAAAACTACCAAACTCACAAATTATTTCATTTTCTAAAAATCCGTAAAAGATTGCAACTACAGGCCTTATACAAAAATTGTGCTTCTATGATCATTTCCTAGTTTTGTATTTTTAATCATTATTATGTCTCCGCATGCATTTTGAGTATTAAGATCCATGCTCTAAATTTGAGACAAAAAACTTGGTGTCTCATGATTGATTTATTGGTGTTTAACGCCACTTTCAATACTGTGGTGACATTCTGTTAGTCCGACAACCATTATTCCGACATCCCATTATTCCAACATCCCATTACTCCGACATCCCATTATTCCGACAGCCCATTATTCCGACAGCTCATTATTCCGAAAATGCATCTGTCATAAGTGTATGGGTAAATTTTCTCAAAAAGACCAACCCCATTCTCGATAATATTTGTGGTTGTCCGTTTAGATTCCGATTGTTCTCCTCGTGCGGGATATTTGTCTCAGTGCCTTGGAGTTGATACACATGCTTATTGCAACTGCTGAGTCCTTATCCTCATCCCCCCTTTTCGTTTTACAGGTCCGGTTATCTTGTTTGTCTTTATATTTCGGCGTTTGTGCGTCCATTGTCTTTCTCTGCTGTTCAAGTCCCCGGTTTTGTTTTCGTCTCTTGGTTTACCTTTTTTGACTAGATCTTCGGTGTCCCTCTTTCGTAACCGGGAACGGGGTGTATTATAATAAAACAATATACGCAAAACAAATATGACAAACATGAACCAACGACAACCACTGAACTACATGCTCCTGACTTGGGCCAGATACATGAAGAATGTGGCGGGGTTAAACATGTTTGAAGGCGCCATTCCTCCCCAAACCTGGGAAGGGGTGTTACAGTACTAGTACAACATAAGATATCTAACAAAAACACAGACCGGACGTGGCATGATATATCTGCATCCCTCACAACAACAAAAACACAAACAGACCTTAGAGCAATCGCAGTTTCTGACAGCTAGTTCAAAGCCAATAACAACTAATAAAAAAAACATGTATCTAAGACACTGTGCCTCTTTCTTGTCCCACATGTGTCTTTGTCCAATGATTTCTCCTCTCCTGGACTAACGCTTGGTTTGTCTACCATTCATTGGTTAAGTCAAGAAAATTGTTGAGGCAAACTGATTGTGCATAACACTAATGTATAGATTATTCTTTAATTTTGGAGTAAACTGGCGTCAACGTCTTAAATAGCGTGTGATGCTGAAGGTCAATTTCAAAATGCGAATATTGAAGAAAACAGATACTACTATTATTAACAATATCTTGTAAAAAGTACAGTGTATGTTAATGTATAACAATACGGGGCCCCAGTAGTATCCCTTAGGTCGCGTTAAAATAAATGCATCAGTTAGCCTCACTTTTAAGCAAATCTAAGATTTTTTTTTAGTCGTATGTTTTTAACTGAACGAGACGCAGAGTTGGCCACCTTATCCCTAAAGTGGCGGGTCGGATTTGGCCACACAATATCCAATATACAGAATAGATTCTGTGTTTTATAAAAAAAAAATCATATTCTGACCCCGTCTAATTTGTTGAAAATAGTTTGATAAGAATGTATAAATAAATCCCTTAATAACGTAATTCGAATTCTGTATAATATACGTAATTAAAATTCTATATAGTCGGTATTTGCGTATGCACATAATTGTTACGTCATAATTCCGTATATACGGAATTCGAATTCTATCCATACGGAAATAGTTCTATATATCCATTTTTTGAATTCTGTAAATACCTATACTATATTTCTATATATACGAAAAGGCGCGAAAATATATAATTGAATAATATACCTCTATACACAAATTGTAATTATGTATATGCAGATTTCGAATTAAGTATATAAAAAGTATTCGAACTACCTATATAATATATACGGAATTATTTCTTTACATATGTAATAACATATATGCAATAATACAGACAGACATGTATATTTTTTTACCCTGATACCGTGCAATAATTATGTTGAACTAATGGGTTGTTGGATTATTGGGCTGTTGGAGCAATGGGTTGTCGGATTATTGGGCTGTCGGATTATTGGGTTGTCAGACTAATGGGTTGTCGGACTAATGGGTTGTCGGAATAATGGTGTGAAACCCAATACTGTTGGCTATTTCTTAGTGGCCAGTTTTTAATGGTGGAGGAAGCAGGAGTGCTCGGAGAGAACCACCGACCTCTGGTAGAAAAACTGACAATCCTTTGTCAACCCATGAATGAACCTGATTTTTCAAAAGATAAATAAACAACAAAAATTATAAACTTAGATATCAATGACATATGTTCAAATAGATTTAATCAGTATCATTTTGGATAAGGAAAGTGACAATACATTTAATTGCAAAAACACCAAATACTTGGGATTCAAATTAAAGATTAAAGTTGGTGTTAGAGTGGCATGACCAATACCAAAAGTACTAGTAATTCCCTTGATTCTAGATTAATTGATGAAACACTGTCCTTGTATGCTTAGCAGTATTTGAGGCATAAGATACAAGATAAAATGGAATATAAAAATATCCATACAAGATAAACAACTCAGAACAAAGGAGCAAAGATAACTTTCGAAACATACTGGGAAAGACGTATGGTTACAAAAAGAAAGAAGATAAGTAACTAAAGAACAATTGAAAATCTTGTTTAATGCCCAGTGGCAAATATCAAGACATGAATATGTTGATGTGCTATGAATATGCACCAAGCACATGATTTGAAACACAGAGCCGGACTTTTAAAGGGATAGTTCACAAGGTCAGCAGGAAAACATGTCAGCCTCCCCAGACACATTATCATGTCAGCCTCCCCAGACACAATATCAATTCTGACTCCAAGCCGAACCTTCTTTGCTCTTTTTCTAAATGCTTTGTGCTTAGCTTAGTTGCAGCAAAAACAGTTTTCAAGTCTTTGGTTTGATCCATGATCTCTTGCAGTCATTGCGAGCAAACTGACATGCAGGAGATCCCCATGGTGGTTAAAAAATAAAGACAGAGATGACTAAAATCCACCATATTGTCAAAACAAAAATAAGATGGAAAAAAACCACATTCCACAAAACGCTGTAAAGAACCCTAGAAAAACTTCATCAAACTCTAGAAGGAAACAGTGGCGGATCCAGAAATTTTCATATGGGGGGCCCACTGACTGCCCAAGAGAGGGCCCGCTCCAGTCATGCTTCAGTGATTCTCTAAGCTAAATAATCAACCAAATTTTTCCCACAAAAGGGAGGGCCGGGCACCCTGCCCCCACCCACCCACCCCCATAAATCCGCCTCTGGGAAATCGCAAAGAATCAATGGTTTCAAGTTATTTAAATGGAACCAATGAAATTAAAAAAATTATCAATAACTTAAAATATGTAAAATACATTAGATTCAGACATTTTCTTCATTATCTTCAATGTCTCAGATGGGCAATTACAATAAAACGACCTTATGTACATTTCTCAATACAATATAACGACCCTATGTTCATTTCTCAATACAATACAACGACCTTATGTTCATTTCTCAATGCAATACATCAACCCTATGTTCATTTCTCAATACAATACAATACAACACCCTTAATATGTTCATTTTTCAATACAATACAACAATACAACCAAATGCTCATTTTTCAATACAATACAACAAGTTTATGTTCATTTATCTATACCATTCATTTTTCAATACCATACAGCAAGTTTATACTGATGCAATGATACAATGATGCAGCAGGCCTCTATACAATACAACAATATTATATTTATTTCTAATACAATGCAGGCTTATGTTCAATTGCAATACAATGCAACAAGCTTATGCTCATTTCTCAATACAACACAACAAGCTTATGCTCATTTTACAATACAATACAACAAGCTTATGCTCATTTCTCATTACAACACAACAAGCTTATGCTCATTTTACAATACACTACAAGTTTTTGCCCATTTATCAATAAAAAGTAACAAAATGACTATCGGGTGGTGGTACGCTCTAGTTAGGGTGGGGAATGATGCGCTGTGATGTGAAGAAATATTATATCATAAAATGGGGGATATGCTCACAATTAGGCAAATTATAATCCTCTTTGGGATAATTATATTTAAGTATATTGCGTTTCAATTTGGCAGTGCATCGTAAGCCTATTTGGCTGGCTGTAACGTACTGTTGTACTAACATGTATATGTGTTGTATATATACACAGGCTGCACAATAATAATTCATTCATTTATTCATATATTATAATAACTGACAATTCGACGGGTGATACTTTTCGGAAGGGAGAGATATAATTACTGACTTCGCTCCGATGGGGGAGCGATTAAATTACCGACTCGATGTGGAGGATCCACTACAGCTAGTGGGGAAGAATGTACTCACTATTGGACGAATTATAATCTCCAGTGGGGATAAATGTGATATTAATAACTAGCCATTGGGAGAATGAATCGTTTCTGTGGGCAGAAATATGACAATTAACCGTTGGACGGATGATAAGCTCCGTTGGGGAACGAAGAAGACTGTCTAAACTGTGCAACACGTTGATTTGTCTGTCTTACGACAGTAACTTCATCGGTTATTCTTCATGTTAAAGCGCATATATTTTTATCTTTAGGGGTGTTCTTAACATATTGTTAAATGGTAAATTTATTAATGTTAGTCAAACTTATTTTTTTTGTTTTTTTTTCATAACGGTTTGTCTATCGTTAAACAATTTTCGGGTGATAAATGCATATATGTAAAGAGAATTATAGGATTTGATCTCAAATTAGAAAGAGACAGATTTTTGACATTATATATTTTATTTGTGTATTTTACTATTTATTTAGTTTATGGCAGTGGCTATTTTTGCCGGCTCCGCCAAAATAGCCTCCTTGGGTGCTATTTTACCGGCTCCGGCAAAAAAGCCTCCTTAGCGCTATTTTGCCGGAGCCGGCAAAATAGCGATTTATATAGAGTTTTGCTATTTTGCCGGTCTTAATTCAGATTTTTCATTATATTAATTACGAACAAAAAGAAATGTAGAAACATACACTTTGACATGTTAGTAAGAAAAAGATATGTCTTCTTTATAAAATTTATACATAAGCATTAGCATAATATAAGCATACATATTGAAATTGATATTATAATAAAAAAATATCCTATAAGTTTTGAAATTAAAAGTTACTTTATATACCCAAAGAAAATATGTTTTTTCAATAATATAATACATAAGCAAAAAAGCATGCATATTAAAATTGATATTCTATTAAAATTATGATAAAAATATCCCATAAGTTTGAAATTAAAAGTAAAATTCAACAACTTCAAAATGCTTTACAAGTAATACGAAACCAGTGCCTTGCTTTTGGTGCATTTTTAAGTCTTGCACAAGAAAGATGCTGCCACTGCAGACATAAACTGCACGTAACACTTGTTGGATAGGGTTTTTAGAATTGTTTGTTTATGATTTGATGTTTTTGAGAATAACACAATTATTTATTAAATGTTATTTTAGGTTTGTAATATTATGCTCTACATTAGGACGCACTTATTAGTGCAAAGTGTATACCAAGTTTGGTTTAAATCGATACGTTTAAGGTTTATGCAGACCCTTTGGCTAAAATGGCTGTGTTTTCACCTCAAAAATAACTCCGAGTGAGTACAGACAAACCTGTGCATCAGGAAAAGTTTTATGACATAACATGTCCTAGATAAATTAAATTAAAAACTTAATTGGATTTTGTAGTGCACTTTTTTTCGTCCCTGCAGAAGATGATGAAATTATCATATAGTTTAAATCTCCAGCTTTAGTCAGGTATCTATTGTCCCTTTATTATACTTCATGTCAAAATGCCAGATTTTGATTGGTTAATACGAGGGAGACAATTTACTCCATCCCATGGCAAATACTCTATTACCCTTCACGGAGACGCTTACTCAAGTGTGCGCTTTAATAATTACGGATGATTGTTATGTACAAGACGACATAGTTTATTACTGTGAATATGAAATTTAATAGACAGTAATAACAGAACATTTAGTATAATAAATTAAATAACACATATCTGAGAGGGTGATAGAGCAGATTGTTACACCTCGAAAAGACATTGTCAACCTTGGCTTCGCCTCAGTTGACAATGTTTTCTCGGGGTAACAATCTGCTCTATCACCCTCTCAGCTATGTGTTATTTATATACTATTGTCCATGTAAATCAATCATTGTGACAGTTCACTTCAATTATTACGATCTATTACCTGTGGGGAAATTCTCAAACCTCTTTCCCAACTTTGTTTATTTTGGCACTTTTTGTAGGAACGGCGAGTAAATTTTGAGGTGAAAACACAGCCATTTTAGCCAAGATGTTGAATGACGGACAATCTTGCAAGCCCATTTGTTTTACATGAACGAAGTGTAGTCTTCCATTTTCGAACGTCAATGATTTCAATAGAAAAATTATTTCATTTAGTCTGAAAACAAATTTGAAATAAGACCGGCAAAATAGCAAAACTCTATATATATCTCACTAGTTTGCCGGAGCCGGCAAAATAGCACCAAGGAGGCTATGTTGCTGGTGCCGGTAAAATAGCACCTATGCACTGTCTTAGTTTATTTATTTTTTTTTTTATTTTATTTTATTTTATTTTATTTTATTTTATTTTATTTTATTTTATTTTATTTTATTTTATTTTATTTTATTTTATTTTATTTTATTTTATTATTTTATTTTATTTTATTTTATTTTATTTTATTTTATTTTAATTTTGGGGGGTATTTTTATTTATTCTAATTTTTGAGAGGGAACTGACTGAGTTTTGGGGAGAGTTATCGTTCTTTTTGTACTCTCCTGCTTCCTGCGCCCACCCAAAATGGCAGATGACTGTCACAGTTGAACATGCAACAAGTTCTATGTTATATCGACTATATAACTTAACTATCAATGATTTGAATTAATCTATAACCAGAAATTATTCATTATTCGTAAATATTACATTTTAAAACAAGTTGAAGGTACAAAAGACGTGAGAAAAATGAACTGATTTAACTCGTATATATCGCACCCATTTTAGTGACCTCATATTATCCTGGGGATTTAAATTGTGATAGACAAGTCCAGTCAAAGGCAACTGACCACAGCCTGTAATCACTGACCATGAGGGAATATAAAGTTGTTGTTTTAGGCAGTGGTGGTGTAGGGAAGAGTGCACTAACAGTTAAATTTGTAAGTGGGACTTTCATGGAAAAATATGACCCAACTATTGAAGATTTCTACAGAAAAGAAATAGAAGTGGATTCAGCACCATCAGTGCTAGAAATTCTTGATACCGCAGGAACAGAACAATTTGCATCTATGCGAGATCTGTATATTAAAAATGGACAAGGTTTTGTTATTGTTTACAGCATAACAAGTTTACAAACATTTCAGGACATAAAAACAATGAAAGAACAAATACAGAGGGTGAAAGGCATTGATGATATACCAATGATATTAGTTGGGAATAAAGCTGACTTAGATCATCAAAGAGAAGTGCCATCAAGTGAAGGTGCTTCATTATCTCTTGCGTGGGGGTGTCCCTTCACAGAGACATCAGCCAAAGTTACACAAAATGTAAATGAAGTTTTTATTGAAATAGTGAGAGAAATGAACACTAGTCCTGTTAAAGAAAAAAAAGGCTGCTGTGTGATAGTATGAAAATAAGGTTTGTACAAGTACTTATGAAGAGCCAAAATGAAAGAATGGTACATTATCTTCTTTTTTGAAATGTTTATTTTAACTGTCATGGTTACTGTAGGGATATGGTGTATTAATCCATGACACACAAAAAAACCCATGCATGCACTCAACGAAAGCATAACATTGGGATTGTTCAAAGCTTCCATTTGCATCTGTTTGGGTTGCTTGCACAATTTTGTCAATAATGCGGAACTACATGTATACATTGTACAACTGTCATGCAAGCAGGAGGTTTAGTAAGCTACATGTATAAAACCAGGTTTAACCCACCATTTTCTTCTGAAAATGCCTGTACCAAGTCAGTACTATAAATGTTGTTTTCCGGTTGTTCCATTAGCATGGTTAGTTGAGAAAGTCAGTGTGTCTGGCATGGTATTGTCAGTTTTTATTGACTTACCTCTTTTAATTTTATACCTTTGAGTTTGGTATTTTTGTTATATTTTTTTTGCTGTTCTTTATCATCAAAACATGCAAAAGTCACAGTGTGACCAAGACTTCATATAAAACAGCTAATACTTTGCTTCAAGTCGAAGACAGCTGGTACATTACATGTACATGAAGCACTATTTTAAGGGAATTTTTGGCTAGATGTATAACTATTGAAGAACACAGTAACAGAGGTGGGACAATATTATACAGTTATTTAATATGTAACTATGCAATAGATCAAAATATATTTCCCGAGGTATGAAGATCAGCTCATTGTTCTATTTGCCCGAAGCCAACGGCTGAGGGCAATAGAACAATGAGCTGATCTTCATACCGAGGGAAATATATTTTGATCTATTGCACTGTTACACATTCAATAACTGTTTTAATACCTACATGTAATACATACTGAGTCAGTTCTAACAAATTCTTAGAAATAAAACACATGAAAGTAACAACTGTATTAATTATAATGTGTAAGGAGCATACATGTACAACCAAAACAATAAACCCAAGAACGTTTAAAAGACCCAATTTGATTGGACAACATGAATACCTTTCAACTAATCAGATTTCAGAATAAGAGGTCATAACAGGTCAGTGCAATATACTGCACACAGGTGCAATAGAACGATAATTTCCAGTGCAATAGACCATGGAACAAAAAATGGCAGAAAAATAGCAAATAATATAGAAATATTAATAAAACAGTAAAATACTCTTTATAAGGTAATAACACAAGTTACAGACTACATGTATAACAGACAAAGAAATCTAAAAAAATACTGCCATGATTAACCCAACAAATCTCATTGTTAGATATATATACCATGTATACAGTAACAATCAGTGTTTTAGTACTGACATAATTTATAACATACATGTACATGTACCTTTCATAAATATTAATTCTAACCTGATAAATTTTGAAATTATTAAGAAACTAAGTTTCCGGCTTCCTTAGCATGTTTAGGCAAAAGTTACATAAGATAAATTCCTTTTTATAATTCTTATATGATTTTCATATTAGGGAATACGTTTATATGATTGGTCGTGAGGGCTTCTGGTAGTAGATCTTGAAGTTATATATTTACGGAACTACTTTTCGTAACCAATGTAAACAAGATGGCGGCAATAATAACACACATTCGCTGGACGCTAAATTTTGATACGACCGCAAAAATTAAAAATTTTTTGGTCGTATATTGGTATGACGTTGGCGTCGTCTGGCGTTGTCCGGCGTCGTCCGAAGACACATTGGTTTTCGCACTCTAACTTTAGTTTAAGTGAATGGATCTCCATGAAATTTTACCATAAGGTTCAATACCACGAAAGGAAGGTTGGGATTGATTTTGGGGGTTATGGTACCAACAGTTAAGGAATTAGGGGCCAAAAAGGGGCCAAAAATAAGCATTTTTGTAACTTTCAGACAATAACTTGTGTGTAAGTGTATGGATCTCTCTGACATTGTACCACAAGGTTCCATATCACAAAGGGAAGGCTGTAATTGATTTTGGGGGTAATTGCCTCAAAATTTTAGGAATTAGGGGCCAAAAAAGGGGCAAAAAACAAGCATTTTTCTAGTTTCATGACAATAACTTGTGTGTAAGTGTTTGGATATTTCTGAAATTGTACTACAAGGTTTCATATCACAAAGGGAAAGCTGGAATTGAGTTCGGGGGTAATTGCTTGAAACGTTTAGGAATTGGGGGCCAAAAAGGGGCCAAAAATAAGCATTTTTCTAGTTTCAAGACAATAACTTGTGTTCAAGTGTATGGATCTCTCTGAAATTGTACTGCAAGGTACCATACCACAAAGGGAAGGCTGGGATTGAGTTTGGGGGTGATGAATCATAAGGGGGTTCAAAATTGGGGGGGGGGGAGTTCTTTTTTTTTCTTTTTTTCCTTTTTTTTTTCTTTTAAAATTTTCCATTTTAAGTTGGTTATTTCTGATTTATATTTAAAAGCAAATAATAATGATATGGTAGGAGATACACACCAAACAGGATGTGTAAATTTTTATATAATAAGTATTGTGCAATAGCAAGAAATTTTCAATTGCACAGTATTGCACAATAGCAAGAAATCTTCAATTGCACAGTATTGCGCAATAGCAAGAAATTTTCAATTGCACAGTATTGCGCAATAGCAAGAAATATCCAATAGCACAATATTGCGCAATAGCAAGAAATTGTCAATTGTACAGTATTGCGCAATAGCAAGAAATATTCAATTGCACAGTATTGTGCAAAAGAAGCTAAGATACTTCTTATAAATTGCTTATTTCTTGATCAATTTCAATGGGGTTTTATTCTTGAATTCTTGGGGTTCTTTAATATGCTGAATATAACCGTGTATTAGGTTTTTGGATTTTGGGCCCCGTTTTTAAATTGGTCCACATTGAGGTCCAAAGGGTCCAAAATTTAACTTTGTTTGATTTCATCAAAAATTGAATTATTGGGGTTCTTTGATATGCCGAATCTAACCGTGTATTTAGATTCTTAATTTCTGGTTCCGTTTTCAAATTGGTCTACATTAAGGTCCAAAGGGTCCAAAATTAAACTTAGTTTGATTTTAACAAAAATTGAATTTTTAGTGTTCTTTGATATGCTTTATCTAAACATGTATTTAGATTTTTGATTATGGGCCCAGTTTTCAAGTTGGTCCAAATCGGGGTCCAAAATTAAACTTTGTTTGATTTCAACAAAAATTGAATATATGGGGTTCTTTGATATGCTGAATCTAACCATGTATTTAGATTTTTGGGCCCTGTTATCAACTTTGTCCACATTGAGGTCAAAAGGGTCCAAAATTAAACTTTGTTTGATTTCATCAAAAATTGAATTCTTGGGGTTCTTTGATATGCTGAATCTAACCATGTATTTAGATTTTGGATATTGGACCATAATAGGTGAATGTCCAATTTAAAATTTTTAAGTTCTTAGACCACATTCATTCTGTGTCAGAAACCTATGCTGTGTCAAATATTTAATCACAATCCAAATTCAGAGCTGTATCAAGCTTGAATGTTGTGTCCATACTTGCCCCAACTGTTCAGGGTTCGACCTCTGCGGTCGTATCAAGCTGCGCCCTGCGGAGCATTTTATTTTATTTTCACTTCGCGTTCATCGTTAAACATGTTAAATTAAATAATAAACACAAAACATTCATTTGAATGACGATAAGATATTTTTGTAGTTTATTCTTTATCAGATAGCATATTTCATGGAATAAAATTATTTTGCGTTAACCAAAAAAATTATTCATGCGCCAGGCCAATTCAATGACATAAATATACAATTTACATGTGATAGAGGTTACGAGTGGAGAAATTAAATTCCTTATCTCCAGTTTAAAGAATTATAAGGATTAAACACATTTTTAAAGGAATTTATTGGTGTATAAACTTGACCAAGTCACTCACAAACATTTCATTTCCTTCTGACATTTATTTGTTGTTGTGTGAATTGGTCGTTTATACACAAATAAATTCCTTTAAAAGTCGTTAAATCCTATAATGTCCCTTTTGGTCATGAAGCTTTTCAAATATTAAAGTATCTATACATTTTTGGCTTTCAAATTATTTTCTTTGAGCATATCTGATGAAGGTTTATAGTCCCGATTAGTGCTTTGGATGCACCAAATTTATAAAGTGTTATTTTCATTTCAACAAGCATCATGACCATCACAGTCAAGTGCATTACCCTAAAGATTAATACTATCAGATTATTACATGACGGTTTTCATATCAGATGTATTATCAGCCCTAGGTCAAGATATCAGCCCAAGAGCCAAAGGCTTGAGGGCTGATAATACATCTGATATGAAAAATGTCATGTTATGATCTTTTTATCATATACCTCCACTTTGAAAGATATCATTGTATAAAAATGTTTTATCTAAAAAATATCAATCTCAACTAAGCAATTTGTTCTGAAAGACAACATAGGCAGTTGAATATATTTACAAATGTAATTATATTTAAGAAATGTTTAACGGTTACTGTACACATGTAAAATCCTCAAACTTCAGAACTTCTTATATTTTCTGAAATTCACACTGATTTTTATACGACCGCAAAAAATTTTGCAGTCTTATATTGGTATCACGTCGTCGTCCGAAGACATTTGGTTTCCGGACAATAACTTTAGTAAATGTAAATAGAAATCTATGAAATTTAGACACAAGGTTTATAACTTCAAAAGGAAGTTTGGGATATGATTGATTTTGGGGGTTATAGTCCTAACAGTTAAGGAATTTGGGGGCCAAAAAGGGGCCCAAATAAACATTTTTCTAATTTCCAGACTACTAACTTGTGGAATGGTATATGGATCTCTCTGAAATTATACCACAAGTTTCCATACCACAAAGGGATGGTCAGGATTGGCTTTGGGGGGTTATGGCTCCCAACCGTTTAGGAATTAGGGGGAAAAAAGGGGAAAAACAAGGGTTTCCTGGTTTATGGACAATTAAAAAAAAGTACAATGTTATGTTTGGATTACCTCCCTTACACTGCTTTTAAATTATGTATAAAGAAATGTTGTATTGTCTTGAGGTGATTAGCTGTCAATTTATTTTTAGAAGTTACTATTTAAAAATGCTGATTAAGGAATATTAATTTTAGCCATGATTATGTATGTCGATTTCTATTTTAAGACTTTTATGATGTATTTAAATGGGTAACTATGGTTGCAAACTCCATTGGAAATTTGAATTGAGATTATGACCATGTCTTGAGGGGAAGAATTTTTTTTTTTGGAAAAAAAGGGGGGGGGGTAAAAAGGAAATTGTGAGAGGGGGGGGACAATTTTTTCTCATTTCAGATATCAGAAATTAAAAAGAAAATTTCTTCAAATACTTTTTTTTTTGCCTTTTTTTGGCAAAAAAAAGGAGGGGGGGGGGGGGGGAAATTGAATATAAATTCAAATCATATAACCAATTCTAAGTTCTTTGACTACAGTTATTCTGTGTCAGAAACCTATTATGTGTCAAATATTTAATTACAATCCAAATTCAGACCTGTATCAAGTGCGAATATTGTGTCCATTTTTGCCCCCACTGTTCAGGGTTGGACCTCTGCGGTCGTATCCAGCTGCGCTCGGCGAAGCAATTTATTTAGAATTAACAAAATGTATTAAAAACAAAACAAAAAAAAACATTTAAGAAGGACCTAATTTGTTTAAGTTTTACTTTCGGCACTTTCATAGGTCATAGTTTTAAAACTTTGAATAATGCATTTATTGTATTATTTGTTTTGCAGTTTTTCATAATACATTTTCCTATTTTCCTGATATTTGTCTTGTATCCTACTTTGTTGCTTTTTTTCATTGAAAACATACAATTGATGTATATTTTCCAGAATTTACCATAATGGTACGAAAAGGCATGCAATATAATAACCAGAAGCAATTATTAAATTTTTTATATCAGCCTGCTAGCACCATTTCAGAAAATATTGAATTTACTAAATTAAGCTGTAAAAATTATGATATTTACTCTAAGTATATTCTAGACAATAATATATCAGACAGTTTTTATTACGAAAGAAATTCAAATATACTTGTTATTTGCTAGTTTGTTGTCAACTTGTCAACCCGTAATAAAAGATGTTTGTTATACCTTCATAAAGTATTAGCTTTAATAAAACTTTCCAGATAAGTTTGTCTGTAAATCTTCTGTAATGATGTAGGATCAGCATGATCATGATGATCAAGTAACAAAATTATCCAAGTTTGGTAATACATGAATAATTTCTGTATTATTTATATATAATAACTGTGTCACAATTGTACATGTATTACAGAAAGTTCTTAACTACATGTATTTGCAATGTAAAACATAGTGGCCATGCATGGTGTGGAGAGAAATAAAGAAATAGCACACATAAGTCATTACATGTAGAATGTACATGTATGTTCAAGTGGTTGCTCAGAAACTTAAGGTTTTGCTTAAAAATATTTTGAATAAGCTAAAGTTCATTCTTTTTAATACATGTAATGCAATGAATCTTGCCAGCAAAGTCATGTCCTTTTCAAATAATTTGTAAATCTCAAAATTTATCAATGAAGTATAAATGAAATTCAGTACATTTGTATTATAACTACCGGTACATGTACAAATGTACTTAAAAAATATCAAACCAGCATTTGTGATGGTATAGAGGTTAAAATGGTTTGCACACACTGAAACAACAAGATAGCTACATGTAATTCATGAAAAAGATAATTGTAGATTTCACAGAATTACCATGATTACTGAATTAATCGTTAACTGGGATCGTAACTGAGCATTATCATGGGCTACACATTTTTGCTATATATATTACATACACAATATATATATGTCTGCCTATGTGTAGTGACAACTGTAAATTATACCTTGTCCATCCGATTTCTTATGATTAAGAAATACCAGGCTTTTATATACATTGTATATATATATATATATATATACATTTGTTACTGATGTGTTATTTCAGCTTCCATGAACAACTTAATAAAGAAAGAGGAGATTACTCATGATTTTTTTCTACATTACTAAACCAATTCAACTTCCAGGATTTTTATGCCCCACCTAGGGGCATTATGTTTTTTGGTCTGTGCGTCTGTTCGTCCGTCTGTCTGTCCCACTTCAGTTTAAAGTTTTTGGTGAATGTAGTTTTTGATGAAGTTGAAGTCGAATCAACTTGAAACTTAGTACACATTTTCCTTATGATATGCTCTTTCTAATTTTAATGCCAAATTAGAGTTTTGACACCAATTTCAGAGTCCACTGAACATAGAAAATGATAGTGCGAGTGCGCAGGTTAAAGTTTTTGGTCAAGGTAGTTTTTGATGAAGTTGAAGTCCAATCAACTTGAAACTTAGTAAACAACTTGGATGGAGAGTTGTCTCATTGGCACTCATACCACATCTTCCTATATCTATGTTCCCTATGATATGATCTTTCTAATTTTAATGCCAAATTAGAGTTTTGACCCCAATTTCACGGTCCACTGAACATAGAAAATGATAGTGCGAGTGGGGCATCCGTGTACTATGGACACATTCTTGTTCTGTATTAACTTTATACATGTTATAGGGTTAAATATATGAAATGATCTTGATGATATTTTTTCGTTAAATAATCAAGAATTCTCTAAATATACTGCCGAAATTTACCCGCAGGAACTTACCTTAAATAAATCAAATATTGACAGCAATAAGTGTCCTTTCCTAGATTTAGACATTTCAGTTTTACACCAGAAACTCTACACAAAAATTTACGACAAAAGAAATGATTTTTCTTTTCCTATTGTTAGTTTTCCTTTTTTGGACAGTGATGTTCCTCTTGCGCCATCTTACGGTATTTATATATCCCAACTCGTTCGTTGTGCCCGTGTCTGTAGTGACATTTTGGATTTCAATGAGCGTAATCTATGTATTACTGGTAAATTATTAAGTCAGGGATTTCGTTACCACAAATTACTTAAAACCTCTACTTAATTCTTCCATAGATACAAAGATTTGGTTTGCAAGTTTGGCTGTACCTGTATAAAAACTTATTTCAGATGGAATAGCACATCCTAAATTTTATGGTGATGTTGTTTACAGAGCCCACAAATTTATACACGATCTGGGTAAACTACTCAATCCTTTAGATAAACCTATTCTAAAAGGTTACCAATTCAACACTGTAATTAGATCTTTGAATATTGTTTTTATTGGTATAAATATTGATTTTGTTATCAGTAAATTAAAATCATACTAAATAGTTTTGTTATACACATATGTACTTTAACGGTACTGCAATCTGTCAATACCTTTATTTTGGCATTGCACAAGGTCATGTTTTTCTCTAACTGTTAATGACGTCTTTACGCTAAATCCATTGGATGTTGGATGTGTACTGATTGATATTTTAGCCTTAGATACATGATTTTTTTTATTAGTTGTTATTGGCTTTGAACTAGCTATCAGTAACTGCGAGTACTCTCAGATCTGTACTTAAGTGTTGTTTTTGTTGTTAAGGATGAGGGATGGATAAATACCCTGCCACGTCCAGCTTTTATACGCCCGTTTACGGGACGTATTATGGTATACCGTTGTCCGTCCATCGTCAACATGTCGGACAATAACTCAAAAACACTTGGACCAATTAGCATGAAACTTTAATGAAATGTTTATATCTATTGACCTGAGCTCCCTTTCGTTTTTTATAAATTTTACATTTTCAGTTTCCTAGTTTTGGGTTTTTTTTCATTAGAAATGGGGGATTTTCCAGTTTTCGGACATTAACTCAAAAACACTTAAACCAATATGCATGAAACTTTTGTGAATTGTTTATATCTATAGATGTGAGCTCCCTTTCGTTTTTTATAAATTTTGGATTTACCGTTTTCGAGTTTTGGGGTTTTATTCATTAAAAAAGGGGGGATTTTCCAGTTTTCGGACAATAACTCAATAACAATTTCACCAATTTGCAAGAAACTTTGGTGAATTGTTTATTTCTATCGACATAAGCTCCCTTTTGGTTTTTATAAATTTTAGACTATACGTTTACGATTTATGGGGTTTTATTCATTACAAAAAGGGGATTTTCCAGTTTTCGTACAAGAACTCAAAAATGCTTTCAGCATTTTTAATGAAACTTTGGTAAATTGTTTATATCTATTGTTGTAAGCTCCCTTTTGATTTTTATAAATTTTAGATTTTACTTTTCCGAGTTATAAGATTTTATTCATAAAAAAGGGGTGATTTTCAAGTTTTTGGACAATATCCTTAAAGTGCTTTAATTTGAACAGTTTTCATTAAACTTTGATGACTGATTTATATCTATTAAGATAACCTCCCTTTAGTTTTTTTTATAAATTTCTGATATAACATTGAGAAGTTATTGAACTTTATTTGTTTATAGTCTGACAACAGATTTACTAAGTATTTAGCAACAGTACAGGTGTATTGCACAACAACAAGAAATCTTGTATTGAATATAAAGTCAATTCATATAACCAATTTCAAGTTCTTTGACTACATTTATTCAGAATCTTATAATATGTCAAATATTTAATTACAATCCAAAGTCAGACCTGTATCAAGCTTGAATATTGTGTCCATTTTTGCCCCAACTGTTCAGGGTTGGACCTCTGCGGGCGTATCCAGCTGCGCTCAGCGAAGCAGTTATTGTTTTATGTTTTTCTGCTTTGTATCGATCTGATGAGTTAAGCCTTTTTCAACTGTTTTTCTGTTTTTTATTGTTTATTCTTCTGTTGTGCTGTTACACCACTGTCCCAGGTTAGGGGGATGGGGGTGGGGGGGGGGGGGGGGGGGGGTTGAGCGCTCACAAACATGTTTAACCCTGCCACATTCTTTATGTGCCTGTCCCTAGTCAGGATCCTGTAGTTCAGTGGTTGTCGTTGGTTCATGTCTGTCATATTTGTTTTTTGTTAATCGTTTTGTTATAAATTAGGCCGTTAGTGTTCTCAATTGATTGTTTCATATTTTTCATGTCTGGGCCTTTTATAGCCGACTTTACAGTATGGGTTTATCTCAATGTTAAAGGCCATACAGTTGCCTTTAATTGCTTAATTACATCCACTTTATTTGAACTTTGGTGGATAGTTGTCTTATTGGCAATCATCATGATCATACCTCATCTCCTTATTTTTATAAACACAAAGCACTTAGAGATTTTTGTAAGATTACCTTTTTACGTGTTTCCTATCAGGATTTCCTTAAAAGAGAGGCTTGCTACCTACAAGGAAGCTATTTAACAAAGGTTCTTAATGATAAAGTGGACCTCCTCTACAATGTAGTAAAAGATTTTAAAGTTGTAATTGTAACAACATTACAGAATTTCTGTGTCACAGAAGACCACAAAATGTATATCATGTAAATGTCTGACAGACTCTGTGTTTCATAGTTTTATTTCTGGGCTGGGTTTCAAATGTCAGTTAACATTAAATTGTAAGCGATACATGTAATTGAAAGGAAAACATACAAGTAGCAAAATAAGATCTACATGTATGCAGAATTTACAAAAATTGACAATCCTGAGTACACCTAACAAATTTCATATACATGTACATTGTACAATGAACATGCAGCATCCTGGTAAACAGAGAATTTGAAGTACCATCATTTTTGTAGAAATAAAGGCATTATTTCCATAACACAATCTATAAGAAAATCATATCAGATAAATGTTAAGCTTCACATTACCATGATGCTAACACTGCAATCCACTCACATTGCCATTCAATGACAAACTAATTTTTCTCCCATTTTTTTGTGTACAAAATGTAGCTTATTTGTTAAAAACTAATATAGATGGAGAGAAATTGTATCCTACAAAAATGAGCAGCAAGATCTTCAAAAATTCACCACACCTGAAATTGTTAATCAACTCCTTATTTTTCAAATGTAGGAGTTATTGCCCTTCAATAACAATTTTTACCTATTTTTGGCTCCATGGTGGAAAAAGAAATACTGTGAAAAGATTAAATGATAAACACAGTAAAATTTAACACAACTGAATGTGTGGATCAACTGAATTTAAGATGTACTGCCCCTATATAAAAAAAATATGTATTTTTATGTTTTTATCTTGAAAACTTTAAACTTGGTAAATAGTAAGACAAATTAAAGTGCAATGTAATTGTTAAATAGAAACAGTTAATTTACTCCTGATCTAAGGGTTATTATCCTTAAATGACTTGTCACTTGACCATTTTTTGTCTCGCCTTGGCGGATTTAATTTCAACATTTGCATTATCAAAAGTACAAAAAGGCAAGACATAACTCTGTGCTAACAGTTTATGATGAATATTTATGAACACAAAAAAAAAACTACCATTCCTCAAGTGACTGGAAATACTTTGCCACCCCACCACTGAGGCCCCCTGAATATGGAAGAGGTCATCAAGTAATTGGTAAGAGGAGGTTGAATGTGGGAGAAATCATCAAGTAAGAAGCTGTTTCAGAATATAATGAATGTTGGGTAATATTTTCAAAAGCATACACCAAAACATTGTGACAATGTCCTTAACAATGGGAATTCAACCAATGATGTGATGTAATTCTCATTTGGGGTATGAACAATGAAACTACCCATAATCCTTTAGATTTTGAAACAGCCAATTGGAGAGGGGGAGAAGGTCAAATAATCAACACTTTCATGTACATTGTAAATTGGATAGGAAAGAAGGTTGAATTTGGGAGTAATCATTAAGTTACTGGAGAGGGGAGAAAGGTTGAATTTTGGACATGTCATCAACTTATTTGAGGGAGAAGGTTGAATATTGGAGAGTAGAAATGTGTATTATAATAATAATAATATTGATAATAAGTTAAGGATGAACATAAAATAGAAGTCAACAAGTCATAAAAGGAAAGAATTTGTTTTATGCAACTTATCCATAAATACAACACATCATGTATATTAAATGGGAAATACATTTTTGCATTAATTACAATGAAGTTATTATGAAGGAAGGATACTTGTTTTTCTTAAATTTAATTATCAAATTACAACGTATGTGTACCAGACAACTATATATTTTTCTCTAATTACGTAATTAAGTAATTTATAAACTGTACTGTACTTAGAATAATTTGCAGGAAGTGAATTTATTAAAGATGAAAATTGTACTTTGTATATTATGTATGTCACCTAATACTTACAAGTATGAACATGATGAAAGTACACCGGTGTTCTGTTGAAATACAAGAAACTTGAGGCTCAACTTTGTTTGTATTATTCATCATCCTAAAAGCATATTGTTTTGTGATATATTTGTAGAGGCTCTCACAGTATTTCTCATATTAATAGTCCTTTATCCTTGCTCTATCGATAGGTGTTCATGGTATGTCAGTCTGTCTTAAGCATGGGTGTGTCTCAACATACGGGTACAGACATCTGAATGGGGTACCGGTTTAAAACCAACCCCATTCATATTTAACAAGGAATTATTTGAATGTGAAATAATTTTTAATTCTGAAAAATTGATAAAAAATGTATGATGAAAACTAACCCAATTAAGGGGGGTTAAAAGGGTTAGTTAGTTCATACTGAACTAAAAATGAAAGTAAATTGAACCTTAGTTAGCCTACCCATACATATATTTCATAGGAAAATCACCACCTATTTATAATTATATATTTTCTAGCTGTTAGACATACAATCTGTGACATCTTATTTAGATCTTTGCACCTCATGGGATCATTCATATTATTAGAAAAAAGATCAGTACAAAGATTGTACAGACATCTTAACAGAAGAGTTATATTACCCCATTGATATATATTGAAAAAAGTGACCCATAGTTACTAGAGGCATGTCTGTGTAAACCTTTATATGGGAAGAGACTCCCTCTGGTGCATTATGTACATGTATGTCACCACAGAAACTTGTGGGATTTTCGTGTTTGTTCATAAACTCACAATCAACACAGGTATTATCATTTGATGTTAGGTGAAAATGGAAATCCCTGCTACTTTGTATTATTGATATCAGGAGTACAAAGACACAATGAGCCAGGTTGACATTTATTGATATCAGGAGTACAAAGACACAATGAGCCAGGTTGACATTTATTGATATCAGGAGTACAAAGACACAATGAGCCAGGTTGACATTTATTGATATCAGGAGTACAAAGACACAATGAGCCAGGTTGACATTTATTGATATCAGGAGTACAAAGACACAATGAGCCAGGTTGACATTTATTGATATCAGGAGTACAAAGACACAATGAGCCAGGTTGACAATAAAGGATCTTATAGAACCAGTAGTTCAAATACATTTGTTTTGTACTCTTAAGGTAGATAGGGTGTCTTCCTCCATCTTGGATTTTGGTATACCAGAAAACAATCGGTCTAGATCTTTAATAAAAGGTGCAAATTTTGAGAGTAGTAGGTAATTCATGTGTAAGAATTTTCATTTCAAAATAGGAAATGACATATTTTATCATATTTATGGTTGTATTTTACAAAAAAAAAGAATACTTTTGTTTGATTCTATTTTTTCCAACTTTGCCACATAAGGGGAGGCAACTCAAATGTAAGGGCAGATAATTCAGATAAAGTTACTTTTACAATAGAATGTGTTAGGAATTTACCTATTTTATTATGTAGCAAGAAAACGGGTCCCGTGAACCCATTTTTTCTTTTTCTTATCTGAAAGCATACTATTAGAGCTATCTTCTCTTATATTATCTCAAAATTCTATGGTGTAGTTTTCGTTTTATTGCAGAAAATTGGGTTTTCCATGCATAATCTATACAAAATCTGTCAATTTTGCACAACCTGTAGCGTAAAAATAAGCCCCGTGACCCATTCTTTTTTTATTTTATTTTTTAAAAGCATGATATAAACTACATTTTGGCAAATTATTAAAAAATTCTATGGATTATAATTTAGACACCCCATCTACCTTAACTGTTACTGTTAGACATTGTTATATTCTGTAGTTCAATTAAATCTGAATTTATCAGCATTCCAAAAATATTACTTCTCTCCAGGAATAAGAGTCTAAAGAGAAATAGATTATCTGTGGAACCAGTATTGATTTTGTTGGCAGTAGTGTTTCCGACACTTGTAATTATGCTTTCCATTCATAATGGAATGGATTCCAATACTAATTTGTTTAATTGGTTTTACAGCCTATCTTATTGTTGAGGTATTCAATTAGACAAGGACTGTTATCATGTGACTTAATGGTGTAAATGTCATTGTAGATTTTAACTGTATTCCCAAATATGATTTTGTAACACATAGATTTACACCAGGATTTATGAGGACTGTGTTTTACAGTGTTGTGATAGTATTTTTTTTTAATTGTTCCTTTCTTCCACTGTAAATGCCATTGGATACTATAAACTTGTTGTTTTTTAATGCAGTTATATATGTAATGCATAAGTTCAGAACTTAATTACCGGTAATATATATTAAACTATAGCAAGTTTATTTAAAAATCAAAATCAGTTATTTTAATCATATTTGTTAAGTCCAGAACATTGACAAACAGTGTTGTATCTAACATACATCCCTATCAATTCATTAGTAAAATAGGATATGATTTAACATATTTACCATGTGACCTCAGCATTATAAATAAAATATTTGACATAAATACTATGGGACGTCCCATGGGTTATCATATATATAAAGTAAATATTGACACGGAAGATAGTCCTGAAAGTAGTATACATTTGTGATTATCATTGTATTTGAGCAGAGACTTTGTCATTGATTTAAGCTCCTTCAAAAATTTCTTTCATTTCTTGTCTTGCCTAATTAGGCATTATGTGATCCCAGATTGCGTCTTCGGTGGTGGTAGTGTTGGTCTTGTCATTGTGTCATCAATATTTAGGTTCAGTCTGTGATCATGATGTTTACAGTTATTTTAGACATCAATATTTCAAACTTTGTAAAACATTGACAGAATGTTTTGAAACTTGGACAGGCTTATTGGTCTAGTGATACATTATTATGGCATCTTTTGGAGCAAAATTTTGTAAATATTTGTTTTCTTCACTTTATTGTATTTAACAGAAAGATGGACTTTTTTGCAGTTAATAACAACATTTACATACTGTCTGGGGTCAAATGGATTTCAGACGTCAGTATTATAATAGCTTTATAAACGTTGAATTTTACAAAAATTTGGACATAAGCTTCTTCATGATCAAGAAATACATGTAGCTTCTGAAGAAAAAGTTCATTTTTTATAAATATTAAACAATTACAATGCGATAATTTACGATTCGTTGTCTTTCATATCGATTATTTTTCACTTTTTAAAGACAACTGTGAATACCTGTAGGTATCGACTGGTTTATTACCCTACCGCAAAATCACTACTTCAGGTGTTGGTTTATACAATTACCGGTACTTTTTATAACTATGACAAAAAAGATGATTAGTAAACTTTTATTTTAAGTACAATTCACATTATAATTAAGCATGACATTACATATATACATTGTGAAGTTGGTAATTATTTAGGCTTTAACAAACTACAGTATAATCCTATAATCCTGGAAAATTACAAACAGCTTTTTTAGGGTAAAGATTAAAATTATGCAATCAAAAACCTTATGTAGCTGACATGACAGTTATTAATGTGACTATGTCATTGGACATACTTGTCAAGAAAATTACATACTTGTCAGTTTTGCATGATGTAATTGAATCTATTATCTGTTCTAAATATATAAATGATAATACATTTTATATCTAAAATTGGAGTTGCATGTATCTTCCTTTGTCCAGAATTGGAGTTGAACCAACTACAATTATAGACAAAAGTTCATAGTACACAAATGTATTGCCTTTGTACAATACAATGTTTAATTTTTAGTTCCCACTGCAAAATGAATGCAATCTTTACCCTTCAGTGCTCACACACACTTTGATGATATCATATTGAAATGTTAAAACAAATGTTATTTAGCTGTTATATTTGTTTAAACCAACATATTTTATTTTATATTTTCAGATCTCATAGATGTTTTAAAATATTATAGACACTTCATTCTCAAGGTCAACAGTAATTAAAGAGGTCCAATTGATTCATAGGCACAGATCCAGCTATCAGCCAACATTTTCAGTTGTCTCCCTTGAGCACAGCAAACATTTCCAGTTATCTCCCCTGAGCACAGCAAACATTTCCAGTTATCTCAGCTTTCATCTTCATATTCAACAATGTAATCATCAGCTTTGTTTCATGGTATATATTAGTAAAGCAGCACACAGGATCCCAAATATTAACATGATTCTACAAGAGACAAAAATTGACAAGCATTAGTTAGATAATCATCATTTTAAAGTCAGGAATTGTAATTATCGGAGTTTTATTTTTGTATTAGAATGTAATGTATGCATGAACATGCAGTTTATAAACAGTCCATGATAAACCTGAAACTTACAAATGTAAACCCTACCTTAAACCAATGTAAATGTATCATTTCTTTGTGCCGCAGTTTTAAACCATAGTATGTGTAAATGTTTAGAACAAAAATTTCGGGAAGTATAATTAAAAAAATGTTTGCTTATTTTTGGACCATGACAAAGTGCTTTATAGTCTGTTTCAAAACCATTCATGTATTTTAAAGTTTACAACATAGCCATCACCTATTAAATGCATTATAAGTGCCTTTATGGGAGTTAAGGTGTTTCTATATTTTCATAGTCACTGTGGCTAAATACATACAATAACCTTATTTGTTAAACAATTGATTGATATGCACCAAAATAGTCAAATTTGGCATGAATGCTCAGTCAGGAGTAATACTTATACAAGTCACTTTTATTTACTGGTTAAAATAAATAATTTTGGAGGTAGAGTTGTCTCCCTTTGTCATAAAGATTTTTAAAAAATTATTCTAGAAAGAAAGTCATAAGTTCTTCTTTTCTTGAATTTATCTTCACTGCGTTGCTCCAATAGAGTTTTTAATTGTCTACTATTACTATTCATAAAAGTTATATTTCATGGACAATGAAAATCTCATTTGTCTTGTAATTTTCAAAATAATGTCTGTTTGCAAATTTTCCAGGTCCTTATCCGAGGAATTTTTTAATGCCTTGCACAGTAGATTTCTTTGTTTAGTTCTATCTGAGATGAAAGATTGAACTCTAATTAAGAAACAGTAAGCAAGCCAGGAAAAAATGTTTGATGCACATTTTGACTTCCTAAAACTTGATAATTTCAGGGGTTGCAAAAATATTACTTGTGAAAGTAAATGTTTGGACAATCATAATGGGAGATTATTCACTCCTTGAAAAGAAATTTAAATCTGACAAAATAAATAACTTATACAATCTTCAAGTATTGTACAATGTATTACCCCTGACTGATGATTGGTCTTGCAATGATTATTTTACTGTTCTATGCAAAATTATTCTGAAAACATACTTTATTAGATTTAAGCTAACATTGGTAAAAATCTAACACAATAACATTAAAAAGTTCTTACAACAGAGCCCCCATGGGTAATGGGTAAGATATAATAAAAAGGACTTTTTTTACCTTTCAAAGATATAGAAATATAAAGTTCATAGGTGATTTTATGAGTTAGTCAACAAATTTTCAGTACATTTAATATTCATGGTTTATGACTGAACACTGATTTATCTAAAATTAAAACTTTTGCATGAAATGCAGTAAATTTTGACCCACTAATCAGTCTTCATGATAATTTTATGAAAATTTAAGTTTGTTTCAATTGGCCTGTAGAATCTAAAAATGATTTTTACAGACCAGAAAACAATTTTACAAGCCTAGTACACATTTTTGTTAAGGGGCCAGCTGAAGCCCGCCTCCAGGTGTGGGATTTTCTCGCTGTGTTGAAGACCCATCGGTGGCCTTCGGCTGTTTTCTGCTCTTTGGTCGGGTTGTTGTCTCTTTGACACATTCCCCATTTCCATTCTCAATTTTAATTGTCACAACTTTAAATAAAAGCTGATACAGTTCTTCTAGAGTCAAATTTTACCTGAACTTTTTCAATATCTATGATGTATTTTACACTCAAATTTTGAAAATACCAGACTAAAGAAAAGATTTCCTTTGGTTTTACCAGTAATTGTATTACATCTTCTGGGCATAATTCAACATGATGCATGATTCAAATAGTTGTCAGATAAACGACTGTCAATAAAAAAAAACAAACAACTGTTGTAACCATTTGCATAGCTTACAGAAATGTGAGCAGTCATTTTTAATTTCTAATGTACTTGTTATTCCCTGCTTTAGTGATTCAGTAAAGTGTATATACCTAAGATTGCACTTAGATATGATGAATAGAATTTATTTTTCATCCAATTTGATTGCATTTTCCAAGAAGATTCTCTTGTCAGATTGCAGTTTTCAGAACTAGGCATGCAAGCCATCATGGGTAAATACACTTTTACATGTAACATAGAATAAAGTAACTGAATCCTTTCATTAACGGCCATGCTTGTTACACTTGTTATTCACTGAACAACATGTTGTGGTTATGCTGTGATTGCAGTGTACACTTTTAATGTTCTTGGGCATTGACTATCATATTTTGTGTTAGTGTATACTTTATGTCTTTTATAAATCATACTATATTGTAAGATGCATCAGTATTCAAAGAACATTGTTTACATTTCTGTGGATCAGAAAAGCAGTTATATATATATCAATAATTTATTATATGTTCACAGAATGTCTGTTAATCCTTAGCACAAAAGCAATAGAACTACTGTCAGGAAATTACTTTGTTCTTCAATTCCAATATTTTTATTCCACATTGTAATAAACTGTTCTAAATTCCTTTTGAACGACTGCAGGATATAAAGCTGTAATACTGGTAAGATGTATTTCAATGATGATGATGAAATAACTTGTAAAGGTTTATATTACATGTACATGATTTGTAACCAAATGATATGAATCTGATTGAGATATTTTGCTCTCAAATTTCTGAAAACTCTTTGCTCTATTTTCTGTTCTAATAATCAAATCATTATTATGCTAACCAATGAATATTCAGCCTCCAAGTATTTTTAATGTGTGTATCATGAAAAAACTAAGGATCTCAGAAATGTCTTCACCACAGAAAGAATCCTTGTAAGCGTGGCATGGAAGTAGGATCTATATTTCAAAACAAGATGCCAAAAGGTTGTCAAATTCAGTGTTTTTACCTTCTTTTTTTTATGTCAAAAGGGACCAAAACTCAAAACATTTTGAATATTTATTTTTAAGTTCAGAAATCCAATAAACATTGTCCATATAGGACATGAAGTTTTACACCAGTCATTAAGAAAATGAATCAGAAAAGAATAAGAAAATTTCTTGAAAATGATTATTCTTCTGTCTATTATGCTCAGTTGTCAGAAATACATTTTTTATTTCCTGACAATTATGATATGTATTTGTTTTTATAACAAAGTAGATAATTTGAATGAGACAATTTTATTTTGTGTTATGATCTATTACAGGCATTGAATGTGTGTAAGAAGTTATACTATGTGCTGTTACATGTATCCCTCTTGTCTTTCATTTTGAATTTTGTCTAATTGTAGCTATCATGTTTTAACTGATGATATTACAGTGTCTATTAAATTTTAAAAACTTTTCATAAGGGAGATGATGTATAAAAATCATGCTTGTAATAAGTTTGCTTTTGTCTACAAAGATACTGATTAAGTAAAGACTTGAACAGTGTAATGATACCCAACATTACGTAGTAGCAGAGTTGTAATGTTTCTGAATTGTCAGTCTAATGACGACTGAAGAAGCTCTCATTGGATGGAATCAATTTGGATGCATATTCCACCCATGAAATAGACCCGTGTTTGTATTAAAGGAGTTCCATGTTGATTCAATTCATTGAAAACAGTTGAAATTGTTCAGTCCTTTCAGAATTATTTTGATTTATTGATAAATGTATAAAGCGATATATTTACATTTAAAATATCCTGGAAACAACCCTTGTTCAACATTGTGGTGTTGCATATCATTTTACATTACAATTTGAAATATTGTATAAAATTGTATCTTACAACAATGATTACTCAATTTAGTACTAAATACTATTTTGATGTTACAGATTTTTATGATAGCTTTGAAAAATCTGTTTCAAGAATATTAGAGTTTAATATTCAAATTCTAGTAGGTTTCAACAACTTTTAGATTTTGACATTGTTCAGGAGAGATTTTTCTTTCTTCTTCGACCCTCAAGAAGTTATATCACAGTTTAAAAAAACCTTCAGCACAACAATGTAACAAATTGATAAACTCATCAATTAAAAAGGGAAGTGTTGTATGTAATTAATACCACACAATGTAACATATGTATTCATGAGTTCATTCATTAAAAAGTGAACTGTTCAATGCTTACATGTCATATTTGAATTAGAATTGCAGTTTCTCAATTTCAAGATAGTGAATGTGTTGATTGAAAGAAAAATCAAGTGTAAACAAATGTAAGGTCATCAACATTATTACCTCCCTTGTAATGAATATGTATTTATCATTATTATACAAGTATAACCTTTAATATTATTTCATTATGTGAATCATGCTACAAAATTCAGTTAAAACTGTTATATACATGTATCTAAGTTTAAATGATTAAGTTTGCTATCAATTGATATGTTGAATGAACTAAAGTGTATGAGACATTTTGTTTAGTTTTTATGAACTGAGTTGTACAAAAGACATTTCTCTTTTTTATACAGTATCATTCTTTTTACTCCATTACTTAGATATTCTGTATAGCATATGTAATCATTGTATTCCACTGCAGATACTAGAAATTCATTATACTGCACACACATTAAACAATCATGAAACACACTCTATTGTAATATGTTGTTATTAATTTAAACTTCCTACAATTCCTAAAACGTTGTACTTTAACAAATATTTTTCTGACAAGGGTATTACACATTTACCCAAAACTTTGGATGGTTTCTGAAGTCATTGGATTGACTTATCTCATTTAAGATCTCTATATTTTCTATGATATTGTTTATATTTTTTTACATGTATCTGTTTTAAGTCCTTTGAACAACTGTTTGATTTTTTATGTATGGGTGAAAGATGGTAAAGCAAGTCAAACTTTATTATATTTCCATGGCAATTTTACTTTAGTTGAAAATTTATTAACAGAAAGTTAATATTTTATTTAAGTCAACCAATACAAAACATTTTGAAAAGTAAACAAATAATCGGACATAGTAATAGTGTTTGTATGTCAGTTCATTTGACACTTCTCCTTAGACTGTGCCCCTGAAATGTATGTCGATTCATCAGTACGCTGCTCCTTAGACTGTGCCCCTGAAATGTATGTTGGTTCATCAGACACTTCTCCTTAGACTGCCCCTGAAATGTATGTTGGTTCATCAGACACTTCTCCTTAGACTGTGCCCCTGAAATGTATGTCGGTTCATCAGACACTGTGCCATTGAAACCTTAAAACACTTTGTAGGAATGTTGTCATCATGTGTGCTCACCATGGGATTCCACCATTTTGATTTGACAATTTTTGTGTGATTGATTAGACTTGGACTATTTTTGGCTTATTGAAGCATAATTAATTCTTGTTAATACTAAACCTGAGACCACTTTAATTGATTTACACACATATGAGACCACCTTGTTAAAGCTACACCTGTGAGACCACCTTGTTAAGCTACTAAATTGACACCATTTACCCAAAGGTTTCTTACTTATTAGGATTGGTTTTTATTATATATTTATTGGAGTTTACCTCACTATACAATTATTTTTATTGGAAATTTTTGGCTGAAGTAATGGGACTTGCACCACACTGTAATCTTTTTTTATACCTCCTAGCTGCTGAAATTTACTTACAGTTTGGTCACACAACTAAATGTAACAACATTAAAATCGAGTATTATCTAAACATTTTCACAATAGTCCCTAAATTTTTTAAATGTCAACATTTCCAATTTCTGTAAATTCAGAAATTAGTATGTGCATTTATTATTGTGATTTTTGAAGAATGGACAAAAATGCGAGATAAATTATTGCGATTTCAGGAAAAGCTGCATATAGACATATATATCAGATATTAGAATGCATCATTAGCATTGATAGAAACCTCACAATAATATCTGAATTTAAAGTAAATGGCAACAATTAGGAGAATGAAAGAGTTTAGTCCTACCTATTAGCATATTTTTAGTACAACAGTGTATTTAAGTATGTAACGGGGGACATATCCCTAGTGTAGCTGGTTTTTCAAGTCTACAAGGAACACTTCTCTATTTTGTACCTGGTATTGCACAGTCTTTCTTGTAAGTGACAGGGTCATTTGATATTAGCTACAGTGTAATTGGTGTTTCATATTCAACTCTTGTATATGCCACAGGTGAAACTTTGCTATAGTGTGTAGCTGATGTTCCAGTCTACTTGTGTGTTTGTCAGGGGATATCTAGCTACAGCGTGTAGCTGATGTTCAAGTCTACTTGTGTATGTGATGGGGAACATTTAGCTACAGTGTGTAGCTGATGTTCAAGTCTACTTGTGTATGTGATGAGGAACATTTAGCTACAGTGTGTAGCTGATGTTCCAGTCTACTTGTGTATGTGACGGGGAATATTTAGCTACAGTGTGTAGCTGATGTTCCAGTCTACTTGTGTATGTGACTGGGAATATTTAGCTACAGCGTGTAGCTGATGTTCAAGTCTACTTGTGTATGTGATGAGGAACATTTAGCTACAGTGTGTAGCTGATGTTCCAGTCGACTTGTGTATGTGACAGGGAATATTTAGCTACAGTGTGTAGCTGATGTTCCAGTCTTCTTGTGTATGTGACGGGGGATATTTAGCTACAGTGTGTAGCTGATGTTCAAGTCTACTTTTGTATGTGATGGGGGATATTTAGCTACAGTATGTATCTGATGTTCCAGTCTACTTGTGTATGTGACGGGGAATATTTAGCTACAGTGTGTAGCTGAAGTTTCAGTCTTCTGATGTATGTGACTGGGGATATTTAGCTACAGTGTATAGCTGGTGTTACACAGTCTACTCTTGATTGTGAAAAGTCATTTGGCTATTGTGTGTATATATGGCTGGTCAAATTTACTACAGTGTTTAGCTGGTGTTCCACAGTTAGTTACAGTGTTGTTTGTTTTCAATGATTCAATCTTGTTTGTGACAAGGGACAATTTACTACAGTGAAGTGTGTTCCACAGGCTTACTCTTGTGATGACAGGGAACAATTTACCACAGTGTAGCTGGTGTTCCACAAGTCTACTCTTGTTAATGACCGAACAATTGACCACAGCTGGTGTACCACTGTCCATTCATGTATGTGAGAAAGCTCATTTGGATACGACTTAGCAATCTTGTAGTTATAAGAAGTAATATTTTAAATTATAATTATTTCATCAGTTTAATTCACATTTATAGCTTAAATAGTTATGACAAGTTTACTTTTATTGTTGTTCGATAATTAATAAAAAATTATGGTATTGCATTTTTCAGGCTAGAATCACCTTTTAAAACACTTATTTTTTTAGAAAATAAGAAATATTATATTATGTAAGAAAGTTTTTATTAATTTCTCAGTATTCAATTTGAAGCTGTGCAAACAGCAAATGATTTACCATGAAAACAGCACATGCATATATATCTTAAACCCATGCATAAATACTTGTCATAAAGCTTAAAAACATGCATGTATTTTACATTTGAAGAAATATGAATATGTCCATCTGCATTTAATGCAAAGCTTGTTTTATATAGACCACCATTGATATTGTAATAACTGTTGGGATTTGTATAAAGGGAAATCTCAGTATTAATTATAAACATATTCTTTATCTTTTGTCTTTTTTTATAATTTCATCATTTTGATAATGATCTTTTTGAAATTTCTATTTTATTTGGAAAAGTCCCAAGTATATTGTTTGTTTTGCCTCACATGAGTGTGACCGAGGACAAGATGATTTCAGACACTAGCTATAACTGGTTGTATAAAAACATATTATAACTTAGCAATCCATATTTTGTTTGTAACTTACCTTTCCTATAATTAACTTTTCTTCATGTTTAAGCAGTTCCTAGATGTCAATATCAATGTACAAAGGAGCAGGCCTGATGAAGTGACTGTTTTTATACGACCATAAAAAATTTGCTCTCGTATATTGCTATCATGTTGTCGTCGTCCGAAGTCATTTGGTTTCTGGACAATAACTTTAGTATAAGTGAAAGGATCTCTATGAAATTTAACCACAAGGTTCAATAACACAAAAGGAAGGTTGGGATTGATTTCAGGGGTTATGGTCCCAACTGTTTAGGAATTAGGGGTCAAAAAAGGCATTTTTCTAGTTTCCGGACAATAACTTGTGTATAAGTGTATGGATCTCTATGAAATTGTACCACAAGATTTTGTTCCACAAAGGGAAGGTTAGGATTGACTTTGGGGGTCATGGCCCAAACCATTCAGGAATTACGGGCCAAAAAAGGGGTGAAAAACAAGGTTTTTCTGGTTAATGGACAATTAAGTATTAGTCTATGGATCTCTATGAAATTGAAACATAAGATTCCATACCATAAAGGGAAGGTTGGGTATGACTTTGGGGGTTATGGCTCAAACCGTTCAGGAATAAGAGGCAAAAAGGGGGGTACAAGGTTTTTCTGGTTTTTCTGGTTTCTGGACAAATACTTCAGTATTAGTCAATGAATCTCTATGAAATTGTACCACAAGGTTCCATACAACACACAGAAGGTTGGGGTCGATTTTGTGGGTTGTGGCTTTAATAGTTAAGAAATTAGAGGCCAAAAACAAGACTTTTCTAATACTGGCTAAGCTGGTTCTAACATAATTTTATTATTTCTGATCTATAAAGAAACAACAAATACTGATATGGCAAGAGATACACACCAAAACAGGGTGTGTAAATTATTATATTTAGTTTGTAAACAGATTTGCTAAGCATTGCGCAAAAGCAAAGTATTGCACAACAGCAAGAACTCTTCAATTGAAAATAAATACAAATCTTTTAACCAATTTCAATGAGGATTAATTTAAAGTCTTGAATTGTTTGAGGTTTTTACCATGTATTACTATATTGGATATTTGGACATTTTTAAATAGGTCTACATTGAGGTCCAAAGGGTCCAAAATAAGACTTTGTTTGATTTCATCAAAAACTGAATTCTGGTGGTTCTATGATATGCTGAATCTAACTGTGCATTTAGATTTTTATTTTTGGGCCCTGTTTTCAAATTAGTCCATATTAAAGTCCAAAGGGTTCAAAATTAAACTTTGTTTGAATTCATTTTTTATACGACCGCAAAAAAATTTTTGTGGTCGTATATTGGTATGAAGTTGGCGTCGTCGTCGTCTGGCGTCGTCCGGCGTCGTCCGAAGACACATTGGTTTTCGCACTCTAACTTTAGTTTAAGTGAATGGATCTCTATGAAATTTTACCACAAGGTTCAATACCATAAAAGAAAGGTTGGGATTGATTTTGGGGGTTATGGTACCAACAGTAAAGGAATTAGGGGCCAAAAAGGGGCCAAAAATAAGCATTTTTGTAATTTCCAGACATAACTTGTGTGTTAGTGTATGGATCTCTCTGACATTGTACCACATAGTTCCATATCACAAAAGGAATGCTGGGATTGATTTTGGGGGTAATTGCCTCAAAATTTTAGGAATTAGGGGCCAAAAAAGGGGCAAAAAACAAGCATTTATCTAGTTTCATGACAATAACTTGTGTGTAAGTGTATGGATCTTTCTGAAATTGTACTACAAGGTTCCATATCACAAAGGGAAAGCTGGAATTGAGTTTGGGGGTAATTGCCGAAACATTTAGGAATTGGGGGCCAAAAATAAGCATTTTTCTAGTTTCCAGACAATAACTTGTGTTCAAGTGTATGGATCTCTCTGAAATTGTACTCAGGGGCCCATACCACAAAGGGAAGGCTTGGATTGATGATGGGGGTAATTGCCTCAATATTTTAGGAATTAGGGGCCAAAAAGGGGCAAAAAACACATTTTTCTAGTTTCCAGACAATAGTGTTGACAAGTGTATGGATCTCTCTGAAATTGTACTGCAAGGTACCATACCACAAAGGGAAGGCTGGGATTGAGTTTGGGGGTGATGAATCATAAGGGGGTTCAAAAAATTTGGAGGGGGGGGGGGGGGGGTTTCCTTTTTTTTTTCTTTTAAAATTTTCAATTTTAAGTTGGTTATTTCTGATTTATATTTAAAAGCAAATAATAATGATATGGTAGGAGATACACACCAAACAGGATGTGTTAATTATTATATAATAAGTATTGTGCAATAGCAAGAAATTTTCAATTGCACAGTATTGCACAATAGCAAGAAATCTTCAATTGCACAGTATTGCGCAATAGCAAGAAATCTTCAATTGCACAGTATTGCACAATAGCAAGAAATATCCAATAGCACAATATTGCGCAATAGCAAGAAATTGTCAATAGTACAGTATTGCGCAATAGCAAGAAATATTTAATTGCACAGTATTGTGCAAAAGAAGATACTTCGTATAAATTGCTTATTTCTTGACCAATTTCAATGGGGTTTTATTCTTGAATTCTTGGGGTTCTTTAATATGCTGAATCTAACCGTGTATTTAGTTTTTGGATTTTGGGTCCCTTTTTAAATTGGTCCACATTGAGGTCCAAAGGGTCCAAAATTAAACTTTGTTTGATTTTATCAAAAATTGAATTATTGGGGTTCTTTGATATGCTGAATCTAACCGTGTATTTAGATTCTTAATTGTTGGTTCCGTTTTCAAATTGGTCTACATTAAGGTCCAAAGGGTCCAAAATTAAACTTAGTTTGATTTTAACAAAAATTGAATTTTTAGGGTTCTTTGGTATGCAGAATCTAAACATGTATTTAGATTTTTGATTATGGGCCCAGTTTTCAAGTTGGTCCAAATCGGGGTCCAAAATTAAACTTTGTTTGATTTCAACAAAAATTGAATATATGGGGTTCTTTGAAATGCTGAATCTAACCATGTATTTAGATTATTGATTTTTGGGCCCCGTTATCAACTTTGTCCACATTGAGGTCAAAAGGGTCCAAAATTAAACTTTGTTTGATTTCATCAAAAATTGAATTCTTGGGGTTCTTTGATATGCTGAATCTAACCATGTATTTAGATTTTGGATATTGGACCATAATAGGTGAATGTCTAATTTAAAATTTTTAAGTTCTTAGACCACATTCATTCTGTGTCAGAAACCTATGCTGTGTCAAATATTTAATCACAATCCAAATGCAAAGCTGTATCAAGCTTGAATGTTGTGTCCATAGTTGCCCCTACTGTTCAGGGTTCAACCTCTGCGGTCGTATCAAGCTGCGCCCTGCGGAGCATTTAATTTTTTTATATGCTGAATCTAACCATGGAATTAGATTTTGGATATTGGACCATTAAGTAGATTAAATGTCCCATTTCAAATTTTTAAGTTATCTGACCACATTTATTCTGTGTCAGAAATCTATAATGTGTCACTATCCAAATTCAGAGCTGTATCAAGCTTGAATATTGTCTCCATACTTGCCCCAACTGTTCAGAGTTTGACCTCTGTGGTCGTATCCAGCTGCTCCAGGCGGAGCACATTTTTGTCCCTTAAACCAGAAACTTTGATATTCCATAGCTTAATTTCTCTTTGACATTTGATTTAGTGCTCTAAACATTTTTACATTGAATGCAAAAAAGAGGGAAGATTTCAAGGGAACTCATAAGTCGAAGAAAACTGTCGAAAGAAAATCGAAAACCCACGAAAGACTAAAAACTCCACAAAACACTACATAGAAAACTAAAGACTGAGTAACGCTAAAAACGTAACAAATCTTAAATTTGAGATCTATATTTACTCTGATGACATTTGTCATGATTTGAGGAGAAGGAACTGCTGACCTTTCTGAGTTCATTCTGCCTAATTTTTGGTGAGATTTTTGTTCCTTATTGTTAAGTTAAAGTTTAGTGTTTGGTAGACTGTTGTTTGTCTGTTAATCTTTTTTTCTTTGTATGAAATACTCATGCTCTCAGTGGAGATTCAGATTTCAATTAAGGTATTGTTTTGATGTTAGAAAACGTACAACAGGGTGAGTGGTGTGGTAGACTGGTCAAGGCTTTGCAGGGTTTTGTCGTAGACTCGTTGGCGATTAATACTCAACATTAAAGAGGCTGTCAAAATTTTGGAAAGTGATACATTGATCCATTTAAAAGTGTTAGCCACAATAACCAATTTAGCCAACACTGTTATTCTAACACATTAAAAAGTGAAAGAAGATACCAAGGGGCAATCAAAACCGTGTCAAATAAGAGCAGACGACAACATGGCCAAAAGACGAAACAACAAACAATATCCACAAAAAATGTACTCACTGAAAGAAATAACATGATTGAGGAACACGAACCCCATAAATATATGTTCACCATGTTGCTAGAGACGTGTTATTTTAGTTGCCGTGTTTCAATTGCTCAACGATCTTCATCCCTTAATCTAAATCGTGAATTGTTTTGATAAGATATTTAAAAAAAAGCTTTACCTGGATTGATTTATTGATTTCTGCTTAACGTCCAGTGGCAAGCATTACAGACATATTGAGAACGATAAAATGCTAGTGAAATATGGATATACCCTGTTTTGTACTTGACCGATACACCGAGTTGGATTTTGAACGTGCAAGCACACAGGGTACCAGTTCTGAGGAACAAAGATTCTCTTACTCAAACACATTATTCCAGCTCCGAGCCGATCAGTCTATGCTCTTTTTCCCCAGCAATTGCCAGTTTTAAACGTCATTGGTTTGACCTAACCGCACAGCGA